TCAGCGCACTTGATTCTATCAATAAATATGTGTTTCAACAGAATCAAAAATAAAACGTGTTCGAACAGTTTCGTGGTGAACCCCAGATCTCAAAAACCTATTTTATTATATTAAAGGACAGAAAAATATCTTTATAAATCCTAGTGTTTACTTAAAAACAGAAATTAGCTTACTAAATAATTTTAATGTTAAACTTGCATCAAAATTTGATTGATATCTATGTCGTTCAAATTCTGTCATTAGATTAGCTATATAAGTAAATGTAAAATCAAGTATAACACTTATTATTAATGATATTGTTGATGTTATAATACTTATTATAATAAATGAATTTTCTTTTACTAATTCATATTTAATAGAATGAAATATTTTAAATAATTTTAAACGTATATATAACATTAAAACAATATTTAATGCTGATAAACCAATAAAAATAAGCATAACAAAAAATGAAAGACAACGATATATAAATATAATCCATAAAGGTATAAACGGTTCTTCAATACCATTAATTCGATTGATTTTTGGTTTTGTTGATTGTATTAAAAATGATGAACGAGTTAATTCATGACGACGTTGATCTTCATCTATGAAAAACAAACTATTTCATTTAAAATTTTTTAATAGAAATATTTACATGCATTCCATTGATATTGAAATCGAGCTAAATAACGTTGCCAAAAACGTCGTAAACAAAGAATCCAAAAAATCATAAAAACACCAAACATATGCGTAGAATAATTATCAAACATTGTACTGAATCGTTTTGTATGACATTCATTACTTATTGATACATATTTTTTACGTGTTCGTTGAGGACAAAGATATTCTTTACTAATATTCGAATCTATTTTATAAAGAGATAATAATTAGGATCAAAAGTACCAAACTATTGGCGATTATCACCCCGATTTTTCTCACATAATAGTAAATTTTTAGTTAGCGAAAAGATCAAAGTTTTAGTCGTTTCAGTAAAATCATAATTTCGATTTTCTACCAAACACTTTCTTCAAGGGTTCATCATTTTTTGTGTCAATTGTATAATCTAAAGTAGCATCTATCGACTGAATACTTCTTGAACGAAGATTGCATTTTTCTTAAACCAATCTTTAAGTATAGAAGTGCCTTTGTTTCTTTAACATAGTACGTCTAATCGAACTGAAACTTTTTTTCACATATACTATATACTGTTTTAGATAGATATTTCTTTTTTTGATAACACCATGTGTTTTTCATTCGAAGAATAAAACAATCTAAAAAGATACTCGTCTATAACAGTGTCTAGCACCGGTAAAAGAATTTTCATCTCGATTGAAGATAGAATCTCGGAAAAACTGGAGGTCAGAAGACAGTATTCGAAATGATAAATTTTGCTATACTCGTTAAGATCTACCTGTCCTAAGAATTTTAAAATTTTTTCGATGAACTATTCTCAAAAAGAAGAAGGTACTATTATTTAAAAATCTCAGAAAGACTAACTAATATTTAAAGTTTCATAAATTTTGGATACCGTAGCTTCAAAATATTTAGTCTTTCGAGATTTACTTTTCATGAAAAAAATCGCATAAATTTGGAAAATTTGATAGTTCACGGTTTTAGAAATTATATGTACCGACTTCTAGATATTTTTCTTATACAAATATAAAAAAATTCAATTCAATTCTTCAACTATTTAGTTGATATGTAACTCGCTATTTCAGTGACTAAAGATCTATAAATACGAACTTTACGATCGTATATTTTTCTTTAATCAATCATAAATTATTTGCTTTTCAATCCTTTCATAATTCTAGAAATGTTTTAACTAACATTAACAAACTTTCTTAACTTACATCTATCTTTATTCTTTTTTAAAATCTAAGAACTTTCTATTTTTCAATTTAAATCATTGAATTATTTACCATTACATGTTTCTAATGTTGGTATATCAAAAAATGCATTTATAATTGAATAACTCACAACAATACATCCAATAATCGATGGTAATATAAGCATATAAGTATACCATCCCAAATAAACAAAATATAAAGCAACATTTTCACCAAAATAAGCTCGTATAAGTTCAATAGGTTGTACTTTGAATATCTGAAATCTGAATAACGAATAATAAATGATGAATTAAAAAGTAAAAACATGTTTTTTTGTTTTTTTTTTGTTTCTTTGATTATGTCTTACATGTTTTATTTGTGCCCAATATAAATAAAGTAATTCACGTGTATTAAGTGTTTCATTATAATTAATAATTAATTTTGAATGACATTGTTCATGTGGTGGATAAGCAGTTAAATAAATTCCTATTTTAATAAGTATATTTATTCCATATGCATATTGATGTGATGAAAGAACTTTAGTAATAGGATGTCGATTAAATTCATTTAATTTACTTATTATATCATCATGAGGTATAGAACTAAAACTAACTCTTGTTGATGGTGCTAAATTTATTGTTAATGATTCAAATGTTGTTGTACTTGAATATAATTTATTTGATAGATTTGAATCATTTAAAATAATTGTTGGATGAAATCGTTTAGTTATTGCTGGTAATAAAGGCATACGAGAAAGAATTTCAAATGTTAAACGAGTTCGTTGTGCTAATAAGTTTTATTATAGATAAATAAACAACAAAAAAAAAAAAAAACATTACTTCGTACCGATAGTAAATATATTATCTTTACGATTCATACGTGAATTATAATACATAAAATGACGAGCAAATTTATTATGTAATCTTTTTGAATATGGATAAAAAACATAATTCGAACGTTTCCTATTTTCTTCAAATACAATTGAGTCTGGTAAAAAAATTTTTGGTAAACCATAAGTTAATGTTGGATAATTGAGCAATTGACGTAATACAGGATTAATACGATCTAATGGTAAATAGGTACCTAAATATAATTGATAAATTGCTGATAATAAGAGATTGGAAAGATCTGGCACTTTCCCAACAAAATATACTCATTAAGGTCTGCTTCTATGCAAAGTTTCAATTTGAAAATCACCTTTCCTAATGTCGTTGACGTAGATAATGATATTAAGTTAAAAAATATAGTATCATCGCAGCAACGAGCTGAGAACTTGTACTCTTTGGAAGGATGTCCTTAACTCATTAGAGTTTACATAACACAAAGAGTATTGATTCAAAAACCATTAATCCTTCACGAGACTACTCTCATCAGTATGAATCTCAGACGAAAAAATGTTTCACCATTAACTTGTAGCAGACAACGATAGACGCTTATAAGACATGGATTGTAATTGCCAGTCAGTACACGTATGTTCGATCGTACGTATATATATATATACCATTGTGTTTATTATAAAATAAAGACTTATTTCAATCTAAAATTTTAATGACGACTAAATTGTTAGTATGTAAATCTCTGTTTTTGGTTCGTGATGAAGTTTGTTTAGATTGACTTTAGCCATTGCAGTTCCATGTGATTCAAATCGAACGAAAGCCTTCGGTGAACAGTTCGGTATAATGTGCAGGATATTCGATAGTATTCGTCAGTAGAGACAAAAAGATCCATCAATATATCGACAATCGATATTAGCTTGATATTAAAATCTTCTAATTGCTATTCTACTGATAATTGTTCTCTGACGGGCAATTTACCAACTTTATACAGAGGGGCTACCAGAAAAAAACATGCAGCATAAGATGTTTCAATCGAATAGTTTCATTCTCGATGATAAACTTGTAATCGTCATTCATCATTATTCCTGACTGTCTACATACAAAATATAGCTCGATAATCTATTTCTACTTACGAGTGATTTCACACATTTCAAGTAATTTTTCAAATGGTGTTGTAATTAAAACAAAAACTCGTTGTCGTTGATTTTTAAGTGGAAATTTTCTATAATTTAAAATTAGACCATAATGTTGTAGATTAGCTTCAAAATTTTTTCTCATAGCTTTTTGTGCATATTCAAAAGAATCTATATTATTATTATTATTATTATTATTATCATCATCATCATCATCATTTAATGTTTCTTCATAGACAAGAATAAAGTCAATTGTATATTGTGTTTCATGATTTTCAATTGATAATAAAATACTTTCATTTGATGATGTTCGTTGAAAATCATTATTACTTAATAAGGGAATATCTTCTGCAATAGGATATAAATTACGTAGATCATGTTTTTCTGATGATAAAATACCATTAGTCATTTATGAATGAAAAAAGAAAATTTTATTACGCGCGTCGTTTTTTATATAATTAGATCAAAAATGGTGTTGATGTTCAAGATAATATTGAACAAGGAAATTTAAAATTTTATATGACTCAACTTGATCGTGTTGGTGTTAGTGGTTCATATATAAATCGACGTGAAGTAACAAAACGTTTTCGTGTTCCACCTGGTTCCTATATTATTATACCGAGTACATATGATCCTGATCGATCAGGTAAATTTCTCTTACGAATGTTTACTGAGAAACAAGCAGATCAAGCGTAAGTATTTCAATGTTTGATTTCTTTTTAATTTCCTATTGTCTTAATAAGAACTTTTATTTACAGACAACTTGATCAAGATAAAGAAGATTTGGTGAGATATATTTTTAGATAGATATTTTCTTTGTTATTATTTGTCTTTTCTTTCAGACGGAAGCTGATATATTCTTTCAAGATGAAAATATTGATAGTTTATTTGGTGAATGGTCAAGTTTGTTAGGTGGAGATGAAGAAGAGAAAAAACCAAAACCAATTAATCCGGATATTGGTGGTATCTTTCCAAGTCCACATCCAGAATTACCAAGCAATTATGATGGTGGCGATATAGATGAGAATCAAATGTATCCTCAAAAACGATTCTGCTCAATAATGTAAATCTGAAAATATAATATAAACATAGACTATTTCATTTTTTTTTACTCATATTCTTATATTTTTTAATAATATTGCATTTAATACATTATGGCAACTATACTTTCAAAATAAAATAATAGTCTCCTTGCTATGCTTAATTTAATATTTTAGATAGTTATGGGTAAAATTCGTCATCAAAAAAATAAAACTAAATCGAAAAAAAAGATTGAAATTTTACCAGAAGAAATAGAACAAGTAGATTTAAGTTTGTAATTTTCTTCATTGTTTTTATTTAATCTAATATTTTATAGCCTATGGATGATGTCATCGATGATGAAAATGATTTAGCTGAACATAATGAAATCGATTTTGATAAACGTAGTGTGGTATCAAATAAAACTATTAAATCACTTGTTTCTAAGAAAAAAGATAAAATCAAGTTAAAACGACAATTTCTTCTTAAACGTAAGTTAACCGATTTTTGACATAAATGCTTTACACTCATAGACTATTTATTAAAACAGAATAAGCACAAAAAAAAAGAAGGAATTCTTAATCTTTTAATAATATAAACAGAATTGTTAAAGAATCAGAAAATAGAACATCGAACAAATATTAGATGACGCAAATGAGTTACCGAATGGTCCAAAACAAAAATGAATTCTCAACTAAAGCAATCTCTATTAAGTTCTATCAATAATTTCTGTAAGAACCACCAGACACTAAAAGAAAGACGAAGATAAAAACACACAGCGCAGATTTCCTAACTGAGAACAAGAGTAGAAACACAGATACACACACATATAAATCGACATCTTAATGAATCCTGGTAGACTCTTATAGATTTTAATGAACTTTTATAGTACCAGTGTGATTTTTTTTTCCAAGAAGCATCGAAATTTTGAAGTATTTTGTAACTATATTTGTGTGATGAACTTGAACAGAAAATTTAAAGTGTATTATTCAATTTAGGAAAAAAGCAAGTATATTAAGTAAACGAGTTTTTATCAGTGTTTTCAACATTACAAAGGCTTTAAAACAATAGAAGTCATTTTAATAATACTGTTCTTCTGGTTATATAGATTGCCAGAAGTTTATAGATCGTATGAACAATTTCATTCGTTAGCGACATGTTTTCACAAACCAAAAATATATCTTTCTCTAAACTTTGTTTTCTATTAGTTTATGTATCACATATGTGCTGAATTGCTCTAGATACTCTTTAAAAACAAAAGTAATCCTATAGACTTTTGTTTCACAGAGTTTCTATTGAAAAAAAAAACAAGTTTTAACTATCTAACGCAAACAAAGACAAAGGTTTTTCACGTGTGAATTTTCATTTGCAAATACTGCAAGTTAAATGAAAATTGAAGCGTGCATTTTGTAGAGAATTCTTTAAGTTACAGAATTGAGTTTATTCCTGGTTAGCAATTTAAGTGCATACAAATATTTAAACGAAAAAGCATCTTGTCACTGAATGAGAAATTCAAAAACCAATATAATTCCTTTTTTTTGGGATCTCGAAATACTAACAAAAGAAAAAGTCTCGTTCGGGTCCATAAGCAAACCTCCGAAAAACTTACGTTGAGAAAGACAGTTTTTTCGAAGTGAGATCTCGTTAAAATTGCATTTGTAAAGAGATTTTCTTGAGAATTTTTTCAGTTGACTTATTAAATAGGAGAAACAAAAGCAACCTAAATAGTTCTAATTAATCATTAATCAAATTTCTTTAGGTCTTCATGCAGCTCATGAATCAAAACGTGAAGCGAAAGAACGAGCTGAACGTCGAAAAACAGTTATTGTTAGTGATATGAAAAATGAATTTGAAAATTCACTTGGTCAGATTGAATCTTATCTTGAAGAACAACGTTTAGCATTAGCAGAAAAGAAAAATACTCGAAAACAAGTTCTTTCACAAGCTGAACGTAATCGACAAAGGTAAGATTAACAAAAACTATGAAAAATTTATTGATTTCAAATCTAATCAATTTTCTTTTCTAGTCAAGCAAATATTGATATATTCAATAAGATTTCTCAATCAATAGAATATTCTACTAATCCATTTGAACTTATAAAAAAACAACTTGAACAACAAATAATTCCATCAACAAAGAAAAAGAGTTGATAATTCGTTTTTTTTTTGTTTAAATAAAAAAGAAATAAACATTTGAGAAAAATCTATTTGCACATTTCATATCATTAAAAACATATATATATGGCACATGTGTTAAACTCTTTATTAGTTTTGATTCTTATTATTTTCAATGAAAGTTTCACATATTATCATCATCATTTTGTTCATCAAATTGTTAATAAATCAAACAATGAATATTTGAGTAAATCAATGTTAAGTAACAAATAGCTGTGTAACATTTAGTCACTATAATGAAGCTAAAGATTTGTACAAATTGGTTCCAATAATTCTTTTAAATTAAGAATTAGATTATATATTTTCATATTTATCATTATGTCTTAATAAAAGATTTGAAAACCAGTTCTTTTTTTTTAAGATTCCAAAAAGAGTTGTTTACTCATTGCGACTCTGTTTTTCAATAACTTCTATAAGCACTTGAATAAATAAAATATAATCTACACCAATATGTTTCGATAGCAGTTTAAGCATTCCTGTGTTTTGTTATAAAAGGTGTCCTAGAAGTGTTGAAGTGATTTTAAAATCCATCATTCTTACATTAACAAAAGCAAAATGTTTGAAAATTTGACATATTATTATACATACTTAGTACTAAATAACTACAAAGTTTGAAGTTTATAGCTTTTACTATATATGAGAACTGATAACAACTTTTTCATGTATTATTTTTTTTGCTATTTTCCTAAGCACCTTGATTATTGCTTTGATCAATATCTAATTTTAATCGTGCTTAGATATTATCTATTATTTGTTAACATAGAGACACATTAGATTTCTTCTATTCCTTTTTAATGTAGCTTCTCTATTCTTCAATGTTATTGTATTCCGTTCTTCTTGTAGTATATCTTTTAGTGCATTCCCAAACATTTTCTATAGACGAAACATCAGCTAGTTTCGCATTTCAGTTTATTGGTTCAATTCAATTGATAAAAATATGTTTAAAACCACACAGTCATCTCTCTGTTTATCATATTAATCATCTTGAAAAATAACATTTCATAAATTACCTAACTATTTAGTTGTTTGTAGTAGTATGATATAGTTCAAGTGGATTTTTGCATATCTATCAAAAGTAAAATACATTTTCTTTCAATTATTACTATCTTGTAGTGTGATGGACTCTAATCGTTTATTGATAAAAAAAAATGAACATCGTTGAACGATCTTTATATTGAATTCTGTCAATATAAACTATAGAAAAATAGTACATGATAGTGTTGTTGCAGGTTCTCATACATAGTAAAAGCTATAGGCATCAAACTTTGTAGTTATTTAATACTAACGAATTTTGAATCGTAGAACACAAAATTTTGATTTAAAAATTAAGTTTTTATAATTTCTATCGATTAACTTCATGAATAGAAAACTGAAGAAATATTTTCTATCAAAACTTTCGACTCATTCATTATACTTATTTCAATAAGAATATTGTAAATAATTATTTTCAAATATTTACTTTTGCTGAAGTATTTAAACAGTAAATGTGTTGATATTCCTAGTAATCATTGTGATTACAAAAAAAAAAAGAATCAACAGAAAATTCTAATGAACATTCATTTTAATTCATAAAAACGAGTCCTCTTTATTCGTTAAACGTTCGAGGTATATACAATTAAAGCAAGAGAAATAAATTTAAATCAATTTGTTCGTTCATTTAATACTAAATGTTGGATAAAATTTGACAACTGTTGGTGTAAGTAATTCAATTTTTAATGAATTTTTTTTAAATGATAATGCTGATGATGATGGATGTAATGTTTGTTGACTAATACCTGTTGCCATTGTAGCAGCTAAATTTGATGTTGACATAAATGTATTTCCATTAATACCACCACTACTAAGTGTACTACTAAGTTCACGTTTTGAAAAACGTGAATGATAATGTGTATTATGTGAACGTTGATAATATTGAACTAATGGATTATCACCAACATTTGAAAAAAAATTATTTGTTTGTTTATTTTTACCAATATGTTGTATTAAATCCATAAGACATGAACGAAAATTTTTTCCACATAATGAATAAAGAAAAAAATTTATTGAAAAATTTGTATAAAATAAATAGAATGTTAACATTTCAATAATTGATTCAATAGAATTTTTTTCATCATATGTATCATCTGTTGAAAAGAAAAAATAATAAATTTTTAATAAATGTACTGGAGTATTTAATAATAAAAATGTTGTTGAAATAATTAATAACATTTTTGTTATACGTCGATGATATTTTGAACGACGTAAACGATGTTCTAATAAATTATGTAATATATATGTTGATGGTTGAATATAATTACGTTCTAATAAACGATCATATTGACCAGATTTTAAAATAATTAATGTATTTAGTGTAAGAATTGTTACAAAAGGTATGATAAATGTAAGAAAAAAATCTATTATATTCATTTGTCGTGTAAATTTAAGCCAATGACGTAATGTAACACAACGTGTTTCATATAGAGGAGAATTTGATCGTTCTGATTTAGTTATTTCAATGCCTGATGTCCATAATGATGAAGAATAAAGAAGAAATGCTAATATTGTCAAAAAACATATAACATAACGAGAACGACGTGTTGAATTATATTGAGAACGTTTTAATGGATAAGCAACAACAAGAAAACGTTCAGTTGTAAATGCAACTGTAAACCTTTTAAAAATAAATTTCAATATTATTTCATTATCATTCTAGTAAAATATTTCAAAAAGAAAAATATCAACTAATATAAAATTAAATGTAATTATTAATGATAATATTACATTAATTATAATCTCTAATTTTTTTTTATTTAGTTGAAGAAATGAATGTCTAACATACTATAATTCAAATATCTGTACTAGCTGATATTTATTCTATGAGTTTAGTACAATTGCACTACTAATAAGTTTAACATACATTAAAAAAAAAAATATCATATTACTGTGACGGAAGTCAAAATATAATTAGATAAATGTCATTTTCTAAAGAGAAAAAAAAAATATGCTAATGCATTAATGTAATATTATATTATCTATAGAAAAATTTTTTCAGGACAAAATAAAAAAAACCTATTGTTCTTGATGAATTAAATATCAAATAAACGACAAAAAAAAACAAACGTAGGTGAGAATAAAATCAATTGATTTTTTATTTTTATGAACATATTATTTATTAATAAGAATGTACTTAATATGTAACCAAAGATATTTAAGACGTATGATGCAAATTATGAAATAATAAATCATAGGTGAATTATATTAATGAAAATTTAACACGGAAGATGAAAAAACAAAAAACAATTTTTTATTACAAGATTTAGTAAGTAACCTGAGTACATATTCTAAATCTGTATATAAAAATTAAAGAGAAGTGAATGTAACATTAACAAATTAACAATGACAATAGTTAGCCACCTACGATTTTCAGAAATCTATAAACAGAAAAACTCCGGACATTTACAATAAAAGAGAAATTTCTTTTAAAACCTATCATTTTCATGAAAAAAATTAACAACCCACGTATAAAAATAGGATTCCTTTCAGATGTAATTTTGATAAAGAATCTTTAAATTTATAGTTTAAGATACGATTCAGATGATGATCATCTTCTCATATCTCAATGCTAATTAAACGAGATCATGTATATATATGACCTAATTATTGAGAACTTTTTTTTTAATTTTTAATACACTTTCTGACAGGTTATTAAAACCTCCTTGAGATGACACTCTATTTCCATACATGTTTTGAAAAAAACCAACGAGTTTTAAAATAATTTTTTCTTATATAGTATTAGATCAAAACACGCTCGGAGTTCTTCTCTTTCGGTTTTTTGAAAGCCACAAGTGGTGCCATTATCGAGTTCTTCAGTTTACACACACTCTTCTTAAATTCATAGCTGAACATTAATTTTCGAAATGAATAAACTCGGTAAAATGCATGTGAACTGCTTAGTACCAATTTTAAGTTTCAGGATGTTCTATTCTACACTTTCTATCATCACAACTAATAGAAAGACTCCTGATTAATTAAGAAATCTATTTTTTATTTTATCTAAATAAAACTATTTTCTTGAATAAATAAAAATAAATTCTTACCATACAGATAATGAACTACAAACTGCTGTAAGATAAACACCAAATTGACATATTCCATGATTATGAAATATATATAAATGTACATTTTCCAACCAAATAAGACATAAACATATAAGATAACCATTGTCAGATAAAGATAAAGCAATCAAATAAGAACTACAACTCAAACGTCTAAAAAAAAGATACATAAACAAGAATTTGATAATTATTCTAGTAAAATACATACTTAAGTTTACTTCGAACAAAAACATAACACGACATAGAATTGCCAATAATTCCAAATATAATTACAATTGCCATATAAACAATACCAAAACGTTTAAGTAAACGATGAAAATAAGCTACCGATAATGTTGATATTTCAAGATCGCTTGTTGCATTGAAATTATTCATTTTTTAATCTGAAAATTTATTATTATGTTTTAATTTCGTTTTTCTCTTATTTAATAATAAATAACATACGTATACAAAAAACACATTAACAAGAGTAAAAAGAAAAATATATATATATATTCTACCTAACGATGATAATACTTCATAGAAAAGAAAACGACGAAGAACATAATTATAAATAATTGTCATATATGTTGATGGATTAAATTTAATAATTATGCATCAAAAACAACTCTGAACCAGACTTATTAAAAATCAATTATTCAAAACTATCAGAACTTTGTCCCCCGATCTATTTAATGTCTTTAAGTAGAGTACAGCAAGTTATCTATGGAAAACTACTTTTTTGATTTAAAAAAAAAAACTTTATGATCGTAAAGTTTTTTTTTTCTGGTCAATGTTCTCTGCAGAAGAAAGAAACAACTCTTATCATGTTCTAAATAAAAAAAAAACAAGTAAAACATTTACATATCAATGATAATGAACGACGCGAATCATAATATGTAAAATTTAGTCTTGTTTTCAAAAACTTAAAAAGTAGTTTTTCATGAGTAACTCGATGTACACTATTGAACGATAATAAATAGAGCGAGAACCAAAAAATTTGTCAAAATTTTAAATTTCCGGCATGTTACAAGAAACTAGAATTGTAATTGATCGAGCATTTTTTTTTTTACTGATCCACTTCGGTTGGTTTATTAGATCATTATGAGTCGGCTAATGAGAATAGCTTAGAAGAACATTCATTTTTCTTTTTGTATTCAAGCTTTTTTTTTCTAATCTACGAGAGAAGAAATATCATTTTACAGTCGTTTATGTCTGCTCGACTTCTTAAAGATAAATATGTAATATTTCTACATATAGAGCGAGAGAAGAAAAGAATCATTTAATCATGAATCGATTGCTAAATCAACCTTTTCAAACAAACATAATGTTTCTCTTCAAACAACAATCCAAGCTTAAATTTTATCATTACCAAAAAAGTGTACCTCAAATGATATAGTTTCGCTTATACGTTTAAAAAAAATGAAATATACTTTGACTCGAAGCATAAAATAGTATCGACATATATAGAAGAAAATACAACTGATAGTTCGGAAAACAATACTATTTGATTATTTTCATACAAGCAAACAAACTTGCTATCAACAATTTTTTATCAGAGAAAAATGGCATATCACAATAGAAAATTTTTCAACTGACGAAGACTTGTTAGAACTCGGCTAGAAATATACTGACTTTTTTTTTTGATAGAAGTAGTATTCTGATTTCAAATAACATAGAAATAGATTGTTTTTATACCCGATGAAAGCTTATGGAAATATAAGAACTATAAGTACAAAAGAAAATCCATCGAATGATTACAGATTATAATATTATGAAATTTATCATATAGTTTAAGAATCTACTGCAGAGCCCTCTTTGCTAATCATTTTATCAAAGAATATATAATTAAATTTTCTGTCAAAATAATAGCACTAAATGAAAGTACTGAACAACCCATATATTTTCATCTAGTAGAACTGTAATTCTATAATCCATAATCATTTGATGAATTCTCATTTGCATTCATAGTTCTTATTTTTTTTTTCATAAGTTTTCATTTGATATAAAATTTATTGTTTATTCTATTTATCATCACTAAATTAACTTCCGAGAAGAGAAATTTTTATGCTTCCTGTTTAATTTTTAGAAAGAAAAACCTCCATTTATTTCATGTAAGAATCTATGATTATCTACTAGTTTAATATAGGAAAAAAAAACATGATAATCATTCGGATTATTAAGTCAATTATATAAAAAATTAGAAAAGCACTCAAATAATTTTCTTTAGCTTATTTTTACTCTTTTTGAACATCTAGTATTACAACTAGCATGATAATTCAGAGTCAAATATTTTATTAAAGGAATATTTCATCTAAGTTATATCAATGATTTATTATATAATTCATATTTTCTTTTTTTAATGAACTATAAATAATTTGAAAAATACATTTTAATCACACTTGTAATTATTTATTAAATTTCTTATTGATTGATCTTGATTCATTCTTTAGAAACTATATAGAATAAAATTCTGATTTCTTCATCTTTTTTTTTTTTGTTTCTGATACATCAATATTTGTAATGAATTTATAATTAAACAAACAAGTTTACTCAGTCTTCTCTTATTGTTTATTATTATTCTTAATAAGACTCTAGTATCATTAGATGAAATAAAAACTCTTATTAACAATGATATATATATATAGCTAATGTTCAACTAAAATGTCAGTTTACCTGTCATCAACAAATGTAATAATTATGCCTTAAGCATTAAAGCAAAAAAAAACTAGAGATATGTAATCTGATGTATAAATGACAAGCGCACATCAGTTTGAAACACAGACGTAATATATTTATCATAAAAAAAACTAGATAATTGATGTATAACAGTGTGTTATATTACCGTGTTATTTGTAGAAAAAGTATATCTTTTGAACGATAAATTTGACCATGAAAATTGTTTATGATGAACACTGTTTATTACTGATAAGTATGTCGCGATGCAAGAAAAGTGAAAATAGTCGTAATAGAAAAAGTGATGCTTTTAGTGTCAAACAAATGAATATTTATACACTACTATCATTCTTACAGTCAAATCAAGGTCCTGACTAATTAGGACATATATATATATCATCGAGTAAGGTCATCAACATCACATGCATGGAGTAGCCTATTTCGAAGGAGTTCAGTCTTACTTTTCTCTTATGTCTAACCTTCACCTGTCGGTTCTGATTCCTCGATAGCATATAGAAAAGAATATAGAAAGAAGTCAAATATCAATAAATAAGAAACGTATGAGTTGAAAACAGTTACTATAAATCTTACCTTACATTAATCTAAATTAGTATAGAGTACTGATATGCTGATAAAGAAAAAAAAAATATTTTTTTTTTCTTGTTATGTCTAAATCAAAAAATAATGTTAGATACACTTGTTGATGAAGCAAATACCATTAACATCATCAATATATGTAAGGCGCGAGATACTCTACTACTTGAGTGGCATCTTATAGTATGTCATTTGACATTTCGATGTAGAAGAGACTCTTTATTACTATATGATAAATTCAATGCTTCCATATTAACTAATGCAAATTAAAATGTATGGAGGAATTCTATGAACGTCATCAAATAGTAGTAGAACTGAATTGATATCTGATTCTGTTATATGCTTAGGTAACATATATTCTAAATGATGCATAATGACATTGTATCTAGTTGAACATTGGCTATCGTCATGTCTTCGTGTAGAAGGTCATTCTCAAACAAGTATCGATAGACGTGCGATAACGAATATAAGACAAAAAGAAGAAAAAGAAATAAAGATAGGATAATCAAAACAATCGACGCCAATGATCATCAATCACCTGTCTGTCAAAAAATTCTTGCAAGGTTAATATGCTAACACCATTAATCGATTAAATCATCGTCTTTATGCAAGAATATTTCTATCATTGAAAGAAAAAGTAATGGTGCACATCTTCTACAAGGCAAAATCAATATTACAAGTTGAAGGTTCACTTTCACGGAATGTTGATGTCAATAATAATAGTTTCAACATCAATTATGCTATGGCCAAACTCTGGTTTAAGAGAAATTACTGAACATTATAGAACTAAACAAGAAGGAGCATCAATAATTGTGTTAATGATCATAGTAAAGATTCCGACTCTTGTTAATACCGATTTTAAAGATTATAGTTATTCACGACAATATTCATACGAAGTATCAGACAAAAAAACGATTAACATTTAGAATCTTTACATGATTAGTATGATTGTTTTTTTCTAATCTTTTCTTTTGTTCTTTATGATACAAATTATAATGTGTAAAATAAAAAAGCACGTTTTGGTGTTAAGTTTTGTTTTTAAAAAATTTTTTTTTTATTTAAAATAAAATAATTGTTATTCCTATTCTCATATAAAATTACGTTGACATTTCTTTCTTCAATGTTTTTTCATATAGTTGTTACCTTATAAACTATTTTTTTTTGATTATTTGCATGTTTTATCGGAGAGAAAAAAAAATCAGTAGAATTCAGTTCTTTCTTTTTTTACTCTTTATTCTTTTTTTTTTTTACATATTGCTTTCATTTTTATTTTCTTTCACATACTACTCATTCGAAAGTATTATTGTTCAACAATTTTTTTTTTTTCTTTTACAAAGTTACTTTTTACTAAGAAGAAGAAGAAGGAGAAAAAGAAATGTCAAGCAACGAAACAAATGAAAAGCTAGATGAAATCTCAGCAGCTGTACGTGCTGCAACAAAATTAAGCAATGAATCGAAAAAGTCCGAAGAATTAACATTGGATATGTTAGCTGCTGCAATTAAATTAGCAGCACTTCCAACTGATGATGAAGAAAAATTAACACCAGCAGCTGTTAATGCTGCAATAAAATTGTCTGAAAAATCATCAGGTCAAGAAGAACAACATGAAAACCTTACGCCCGAATCATTAGCTATTGCACTTAAATTAGCAACGAAATTGTCATCAACCAATGATTCTAATGATAAGGATACAAATGAGTTATCAGTTAATCAAATGCGTGCAGCAATGAAAGCAGCTGTAGCTTTGACTCAAGAAACTGAATCAAATGAACTAGTTACATCTCAACTACTTACTGATGCGCGTAAATTGGCTAAAAACTAATTATTTTTTTTTGTATTTTATTTATTGATATCTTTCATCACTTATCGGATCTTTGAATACCTGCACAATATCTTCTCCGGATAAATATCCATTTCCTGAACTACTATGACAAGAAAAAAAAATATATTTAATGAAAATAAACAAAAAAATATCACAAACTGTTTTTTTTTCCTTCATTGATTATTAGTTATTTCATTTGTTGTTCATTATCACTTATATAACGGTTGCCGTATAATAAACGAGACAAAATGTTTTCATCTTTCTAGAGCATTACTCAACGCGTTAGAAACTTCGGTTTTAGGCTCATTCAATAGAAGATTTCACACACTATAAAATGGTTGTCTGTATTCTTCAAATAACTTTTTTTTTGTCAGCGGAAACTCTAAAAGATGAATACCTATACAATCGTTTAACTACGATTTTCGGTTTTTCTCAAATATCTATCGATGAATGTAGGTCATTGGTCATCAGGACCAAGTTTATGTCAAATTAAAAAAAAACAATGCTATTATTATGCTAGAAATTGGTTTTTCCACATTTTTTACTTTGAAAATTTTCTTCTCTTTCATGAAAAAATGTTTCGTTTTTTAACTGTCGTAGTTAAACAATTTAGTAGGTGTTTATCTTTTAAATTTTGTGCCGGCAAAAACAGGTTATTTGAAAATAACGACAATAGTTTTGTAGAGCATGAAACTCTCTATCGAACGAGCATTAAATAATGACATATCCTGTCAACTGAATAAGATCATGTATAAACAATACATATTACAGAAAACTTGAATCATATGAATTAATTTCATCGAAAGCTTTGTCCGTGTAGAGTTTGAAGTCAAAATTCGACAGTCGATTTGCCACGGTACTCAAGGGAGATCACAACTTTTTGTTAGAAAACACAGTCAAATCTATATATTTCAAGGATGAAGATCAGAAAAATCAAACTATTCTAGACTTTTCAATTACTTACTAGTCCTCATGAAATGAATATTGTGTCTATTGAAATATGAGTTGATATTTGGAGACTTACCTTAGTAAAAAAAATCTTTTCCTAAATGTTTAGATGATGTTGTTGAACACATAATGCATATATACCAACAGTCTTTGATTGCAAATAACTTTTGATAGGAACAAGATAGAGAGCTGCGTTTAACTGCAAGATTCATATACATGATTCAAGAGTGTCGGGTAATGATATATTCGTCAGACACAGAGATGGGCGAGTCAGATTTGTCGGTGATAGATCAAATCAATTAAAAACTTAATTTCAAGTAATTTTTTTGAATACTCTATTCTTTGTGAAAACATCAACATACTGAAGCTTTTCTTCTTTACAAAAGAAAAATGAATTTATAAAAAAGTTTCACAACAATACAACAAAACTAGCTGAAAAAAGAACAGATCTTTTTATGAATATCTTGATAAAAGCTCATAAAAAACATATCATTGAGACATAAGATGATACATACAAGTTGAAAAACGTCATTTACTTATTACAAAGTATTCCAGTTTTCTTTCATCTTGAATTCAATTTATAGAAATATTTGCTAGTTTTTAATGACACTTTTCTTTCCATTTCAAATGAAGAAAGAAAAATAAAGTACGCAAAAATCTTGTATGCATATATATGCTTTTTGATTTGAGTTAACTGTCTCTGACACGATCTTATTTCATGTCAAGTCAAGACATGATTTATTAAAAAAATTTTCAAGTCAAAAAATGACTTGGCTTCCCCATCTCTAGTCAATCAGCAAGCTTTATAAATCACTGACAGTTCTATGAAGATGACAAGGAAGCTTTATTCTAAGAAAAAAATGCTAGATTCATATTCACACTTAAACTCGCAAAATTATACACAGATTAAGACGATGAAAAATAGCAAACTTTTCGTGATGAAAGGAGAAGATAAATGTTATGTACAATTATCTGACTTCTGCAAAATCTTGAATCTCTTTTATGTTTCTTGTTATGTGTAAGATTCAGTAAAGTAACACGAGAAGTAACAAGAAGATAAAGTAGTCTGTAATTCAAATATAAATTTTATCAGATTAATAGAATACTAAACAAATCACCTCGATTTTTTAATCATGCCTATCACCGTGGTGCCGTGTTCATCCATCCATCTCATTAAACTTACACTAATCAACAAATTGTCTGCATTAATACAATGGTTTTTGTTCAGAATATGACCAGCAAGATGCACAACAATTCTTTCACAAAAATAGGTAGCATATGCGCATCAAAAAATTGTCAGTCCAAGTATTTGTATCTATAAAGAAGAAGCCTGTTTCCAACAGGAGAGAAAATATTTTACCCTGTCATGTATAAACGTCAAAATTATGCAGAAAGCCATTTAAAAAATGACAAAATGCAATAGTCTTTATTTCAAAACGAGCACACTTACGCAGATTATATTGTTGGAAATTCTATTTTGAAAACACGAACAACTAAAAATGACGACCACAATTATATATACATACTATTCTTCCTTTGAGTGTGTGTATGGGAGGGAGGTCTGGGCGTCGGTGTAATTATTCTATTCATCCACGCCCACACCCTATATGTGTAATGATGAAGGTTAAGCTTGTCTAACATTTCGTCATTGTCTTGTGTTTCTCCTTACCATACACTTCACTCTTACTCTAAGTTTCGTTCTTATCACGTGCTATTATATTTTACATCGTTATATTGTGATATCTACTTAGTTTTGATGCCTGCGTATATAAAGCGTAGAAACATTTGTATGCAGGTGCTATTTATGATATGAAGAAGCCAAATAAAGTGTAACTCCATCTTAAGTAACCCTTCTTCTATCTAAAACTCGTCTCAATATGGAAGTGTTAGGAAAAAAATCGACAATGTGTCTATCAGTACTTTAAAAGTTCTAAGAAAAATATTGATTTTTTGTTGCCGGCTAAAAGCTATTTGTGCAATCTCTGCAGAATTAAAATGTGAAACACGATGTAGCTGATATTAGAGTGCGGGTGTAGGGTATGGCTTTGAGTAATTGGAAGACCTACATCCACACTCAAACTTATATTCACACACCCACGTTCATCCACTCCCACATCCTACAGCCACACCTCACACCCAATGACATCCACTCTTAACCTCTAGAAAAAAAACCTCGATTGATCCAACAACCTTCTCTTACGAAGACGAAGAAGAAGAAATAGGATTGAGACTAGAAGCTGATTATCACTTAGTAAGCAACTACGAAGAAGAAAATACGTCATTCTCAATGACGATGAATGGTGTGGGCTTCCATGTAATTGCTTAACTTTAGACGTTATCAGTATTATATATGAAATGAATGGCTTTCACCTCCCAAATAAAAGAAAGGTAAAAAGCTACAACACGAAAAACTTCGTTTCTGCTGCGACACAATATGCTTTTAGTTAAATATGTTCCTGAAGGTCTGTGTCGGTATCCTTATTCTATTGTTTTTTGGTGTGTTATGCACTATTATCGGCAGTGTACGGCTTGGTTTTGATTATTATGAACAACGGCGTTTTAGGAACAGTACTTGAACAGTAATAGATGTAAACGTTGCTATGGGCCCATCTTGCGCTCCTTTTGCATCATGGCAACAACAACCATAGTACGGATTTAATGAATCGCATAAAAATGAAACCCAACAACGATACAAAAGGGGATATCCGCTAGGTTACGAGTCATGGTGATGGTCATGGGCGCCGCGACGAATCCAGCCATCATCTCAGTCATCATCTGGAATTCCACCTCCCTGCCCTTTATGGTATCGTCCGGTCTTGGTTGTTCAATTTAATACACCGAGCAAATCCATCGAAATAATAACAATGGAATTATACAAGAATGATACATTTTACTTATCGACTAAACAAGCAGCAGAAGCAGTCAAAGAACACGTAATGTTCTGAAGATCACTGCCTTCTGATTATATAATGATCCTCCTTTTTCCAAAAGTCATTCCCATGGTTCTTTATTTTGGTGAATTTTCCTTCCTTTCGTGGATTCGCTGCAAAAACACAAAAGGACGGGGAGTGATTGGTGCGGAAATAGGCCCTATTTGAAAGTCACCCAGGCAATTTTTTAAGATAGTGATACTTGTGTCCATCCAATCTTCACTATTTGATACAGAAACAGAGCGATGTTTCCAGCACAGAGAGAGTTGCTCAAGAACTACAAAATGATAAAATAGTGTACTTCAGAAAGTGCTACTTCGCTGTTTTCGAAAGGTCCTAGTCGAAAATATGGAGGGTAGCGCTCTTTGAGGCAGATTTTTTCATTATTGTATAACACTTGATCAGCTCTCGCTGCGTTGAAAAAAGTGGCTCCGGTTCTATAAAATAAAGTGCAGATCACAAGGACACAATGTGTCCTACCCATACAGAGATTGCTGATTTTCGACAAGATGTTCTTCGAAAAATATCGAGCACAGCATATTTTCGTGCATATATTTGTACCGTTTTGTAGTTCTTAATGAGTTCTATCTATTCTGAATAAATGGTTCGTTGTGGCAATGAAGTCTACTGGAGACCACGGGTACCAGATCATATGATTTTTAGGAAAAGTCTACCCTACGAAGGCAGATGGATTCCGTCATCGAATGCAATAGAAAAAGTTCACAAAAATTGACCTGTCAGCCGACAATAGTATATTGTGGAAGAGAGAAGTAGAAATTCTATGACAGAAGTTGTTACTCAAGTGATTTTCAAATGAGAACAATTTGTGGACTAACCAGTCCCAGTCCTTCTTCAAGTTTTTGATCAAATTTTCAATTGATACTGCCGAAGAAAACAAAACTCACTGAACCGCGGCTAGAATAAAAACAGATTTATTAAAGTTCCTTTGTCAAATTCACAATACGAAGGGTTAACAATATTGGTATCCACCTAAATTTTCGAAAGACTTTTCGTTTCAACAAAAATTCTGTTTCTTGTCAGTTCGAAAACGTTTAACAGCTCTCCCCAGAAGAATGTCTTGAAAAGGGACTAATACATGTAAAACTTTATCCAAACGAGGTGCTAGGAATCAATACTTTATGATTCTCAAGTCACTCATTATTTTCTAGCAAAACTTTGGACGAATATCATTTGCATAATCTACTTGAAATGACCTAGAATTCACTTGTTTAACGCTTATCTGAGAGATTGTTCTCTTTCTCTAACTCCAACTCAGAGAGATTTTTCGTGGTTTTCCCGGTTGACCCATTCCTGCTCGATTTTTATCATTTCGATGTGTCAAATACATGATTAGATCAGGTGAAGAAGTTTACAGAATGCATCGCATTATTACTTCTGGATATACTAGCGTATCTAAGTGATACCTTTTATAGAAAATATATTCCGCCTTTTCTTCCTTTTTTTGGACCAAATTCTTTCAAAAGTAATTTGTCTTTCTCGTCATTTTAGAAGAATAGTTACGAAGCTAAGTTGTTCTCCACTTCAGATAGACAGGAATACAAAAGGATTTAGACAGCACAATAAGTTTTCTCTTCTCTGATTGCACTACTACAGATCGTATAGTTTTGAGGAGCGGTTAGATCTTCCTATTAGCTAATTATTTGTTGTTTCAGATTGGTAAAACATATATATGTTACTACGACATCAAACAATGGAAGCAGCTCGTTGATTATCGAAATGTTTATGTTCATCCTATTGGTCACATATGGAACTCCCCACTTGTCGAGCCACGCCTTCAAGTAGTTTGGTACAGACGAGATGCGCACGTCGCACTCATTTTTTTGTCAATTTCAGTTGGAATCAGTCTTTCGTCGGGTATTTGTATCTACTTTCTTTATAAATATAAGAGGGCACCAGTGCAACAACCCCAGCAACGGTATGCACTGATGAAATCGTCGGCACCCATCCAAGCGGACGAACCTGAGCCTCCACCCTCCTATGAAACCGTTTAAGCTCAAACACGACATTGAAAAAATTCGGAGAATAGTGAACCCTAGGAGAAGAATTTTAGCAATTCTTAAATTTTTCAGATGGTTTCAAAAAAGAAAACATGGTTTCTTGGTAATATATCAAAAACTCTTTTTTTGGTTTATTATCCTCATAAACCTTTTGAAGAGTTCCTGATATGTTGCGAACTCTTAAAAGAGCTTTCAACAATCAATCACGGATCCTTGAAAGAATTTCTGAGGGTAATAAATCCCAAAAGGAGTTACGAATACTACCAATAAATCATTTTCTCGTGGGGTTTATTATATCCGAAATAATTTGACAGTGTACTCTTATTCTTGATTTACTTCCGACTCATCATCAAATTGTTTTTCTGTTTTGTCTTGTTTCCATCAAATTAATAGGTTTGTTGTGCAATAAAGAAAAAAACTTATTTAATCTTGTCCTTCTGAGCTCCAATTGAACCCAAAATAGTAATACTTAAGGTGTGAGTATGGGTGTGAATGTGTCTACAATATATAATCAGACACCAAGCCATCATACAATGTATTCCGAACGGGGCTTAAATCCATTCACTATCGGTTATGTTCGGGTGTGAATATGGGTGTGTGAGTGGGTGTAGATATGGGGACGGATATTTCTTTCTTCTACAACCACATCCACACTCTCGTCTCTGGAGTCTGTCTGTCAGAGTCTGTGATGGGTGTGGGTACAGTTATTCTATTCACCCACACCCTTAATACTAAGATCTATATAAAATTTTACTCACACTACCCTCAAGCCTTCCCAGAAATATGCGGGTAAAACTTTATATAGATTTTAGCACCGAAAAATTTATCCTCATCACTTTTTTCTGTTTAGAACTTTTTCTTTTTTTTTTTGAATGCTATTAGCATTGAGTTCTTTCATTTAATACAGAACTTACGAATAGTATTATCATAAAAAGAATACTCGCATGATATTCAATGTATTTTGGAAGATTCTACGAAGAGTGTGGGTGGTTGTGGATGCGGAAGTGGGGTGTGGGTGTTGGTAGGCAAGGGAATAATCATCCTCACATCTACACCCACACCCCTAGCACACAATGATTCCACTTAGTTTGTTTCTTTTCTTGTGTAATATGCTGGATTTTCTCTTTTAGACTACGAAGTCACGAATTGTACTTCTGACAGTTTTGTCTGTTCAGTAGGCAGTAGTGCTATCTACACGATGACATTATCCGGTGAGTAAAATATACAAATACAGGATGCAATGAGAAAATTTAGCTCAACAAATAACTATAATGATCGAAGTAATCTAGCTGTGACATTGTTCGACAATACGGTCTATATTCTTCACATCGAATTGTCCTGTGTCCAACAATCAGATTATGATAACTTGTATAGCGGAGATCCTTGTTTTTCAACGAAACTGCAATGATGCTCATTATCTTGCTGTGTGGATAGATTTCAACAGTGATGGTGTATTCGATGAAAATACAGAACAACTAGCTTTTAACAATCTGTTTAGAGATGATCCTCACGCGACTCAGTATGATTCAAGTCTTACGATTCCACAAATTAATGGTAGCTATTACTTGGACAGACAATATCCCATGTGTATTCTTCTAACACAAGATGAAGAAAATCATAATCCGTGGCAGGACGCTGGCTATGGAGAAGTACGAGATTACGTAGTACAGATCATATAGAAACACTGGTATTGAAATGATAGAAAGAAACTTTATTGATACTATATTATTCAAGAACTGTCAAATGTGTTCTTTTCAATATTTTTTAAACATAGATATAATATATTTTTCATATAGAAATAGAATTATTAGCTCGCTGCATAGACTTTGCGTAACCAAATAGTGAAAGTATCGTAAAGGCATTGTGAAAAAACTTTCAGAATTATCCACATGAAGTTAAAATGTGATATACGATGAACTCACCTTAGCTATAGTGGAAAAGCATTACTAGATCAATCACAATTCATACAGTCTTTAAGGACGTGTATATGAAAAATCCCGGTTACAAGAGTAGACATATCGAATACAGTCTGTAGTGCAGGCTGCTAGCAAACTTATTCTCCTTTTTGTATAAATTGACACTCATTAACAGTCACGTTTTACTAAAAGGATATCATAGGCATCAGTTTCTTTCAGTTTCTTCATTGCAAAGCCCACAAACACTCAATGCATTATACTTTTATTTTCATGCGTGAAACTGAACAAATGATTTCTTCTTACTGCTAATCTATTTCAGTCACAGAAATCATTTCATTTTCTTTAGGTAAGTCTTGTACGAATTTAGCTATTTACCGAGTTTTTCTAACAAGGTACGGCTTGCATATTTTTATTGATAGGATACCCTTATATTCGACGTTCTCATGTTAGTTGTTAACAGAGAGTGAACTAATTATATTTTGATAATGTGATGTTGATGAATCTTCACATGGAAATTGTATCGAAATTGAATTCTCATAGATGATAAGTGAACATGAAAGCATTCATGCATTCAATAACATTTTCCCAATGAACAAAAAATAATCGTCCTTGTGTATTGTCGAAAATACGATAAGGTGGTACTTCAACGACTAATTTTTTCGAGTGCAAGATAGATCTATTCATCATTCGCGATGATGTTCATCACGGCAAATGTGAGTGCTGAATTGACAAAGCATACACGTTTTTTTTTTGGCATGCAAAGAAAACTGACCACTTTTTCTAATAGGAAATTTCGAAGTTCGATGACATTTATCTTTCTACTTCTATCGTTTTTATGCATTCGAAAAAACAAGAAATTTCTAGAAAGGTAATGCGATAGAGAAAAAATGCTGGGACAATTGAGAGCTACAGTATTGTCTATTTGAGTAATTTGATTGGAAACATATCTTGGATCTTTCTTGAAGAAGACTTGTACGTCTTTGATAACACTCAGTAGAACAAGAGGTCGATCTAAAATCCGAAAAATAGAAGCTGCTCATTCTCCCTATTAATCGATTGTCAATCCATACAGAAAATGTACTCAATTGAGCTGAAATTGCACATTATCACTATCCAAAGCAAGCTTATTCAAAGCACAAAAGGAAAATTGGCCCCACATTAATAGATATATTAGAGATCATTTTAACCTTTTGATTGATTTATCTGAAATCTGGTGGCTGACAAACCTCGATGACATAATATACACGACATCTGTACCTGATCTAATTTGCTATGTGACAATGTTTATATCATTACTCTGATCCCTGTTTGACAATAAGTTGTAAAATATTGTTTGTTTGCGTCGCGGCTTCTAGCAAACATACGTAACAACATCTAGTGTTCGATGTCATCTTAGAAATTGATTGTTGCGATACTCTATAATACTTAAACGGAATTATAGGTTGAAAAAGAACAAGTCGGTGTGAGATCGATGGATGAATCTGAAGAAGAAAAGAAGAACTACATTGTCGAATTGTAAAAAAACATTTGTATAAGCATCAATGTATAAAAAAAATGGTAAATGCTTAAAACACGAAAGATCCTTTTAGATCGTAAAACGAAGTCAACATCATCTCGGTCATAGTTCGTCCTGTTGTCACAAACAAGATATATAAATAAGACTATTACAAGATGCACTGTAGTTCCAGAATAATATGATTTGCTGTGGGAAAAATCGAGAATAGAAAAATCGATCTCTTTTCTCGCTGTAAGCTTTAATACTTATGAGTAAGCATGCTTCATTAAATATCAGATGAAGCAATCAATTTCACCGCACACATCTCCAATGAACTACCAATAGAACGGTAATTTTCTGCTTGTTAGTTCATTGCATTCGATACACATTCTAAATAATACTTTATTGATATCACTAACACAAGCATCTAAAGCATATGGTCTTCAGCATAGGATATAAACATTCTTTAAAACTTTAACAAATATTGAACCATGAACACGTAATGATGTAATATTAGCTGAAAATGGTAAACAACGTAATACATCATATTGAGTTATCATACCCTCAACACAAATAGCACCTGTATTAAATACACATATCGTTGTATTAGCTGTATCCATTCGAGCATTACATAATGCACTTGTTAGATATGTTTGTTGAGAACGTATGACTGCCGAACGACCATCAAAACAAAATCCAGCAGGTAAAACACATATAATACGTTCAGGAACATAACCTAGGTAAAATGCAAATAGATGAAAGAGTTTGTTTACAAGAAAACCACCCGAAATAATACCTAGTTATTGTGTACGGTCTGTTGAGACTAGAAGAAACTGTCTATGTGGAGTTATGGTCATTATACTAGATTGTTTTTACCTTTGGCAAAATATTTTATAAAAAAAAACTACTGGAAAAACGAGTTTTCATCAAAAGTTTTGTCCATAGACAACTTCTAAAATTATTAGAATCTGTTAAAAATTTCTTCCATAATTTTTTGTGGACTTGATATCTCGAGAAAAGACTACTCTTTTTGGCTGGCATTTTTACGAAAAAAAAATAAATTTTTTTATTTATCTCTTTCATTTTCACCGAGATGAATCTTTGTTTTTATTTCGTATGCACTGTTTTTCAAATAACAATAATAACCAAAACAAATAGAGAAAAAGTCATCTGACATACAGCCACTATCAGAAATGGGAAAAGACAGAAAAACATATCTGACATACACACACACGTATATATCATTTCAATAGCACCGGTTTCTTTTTTTTCACATAATCTGCTTACTAAATATAAACGAAAACAAACAAAAGAAAAAAAAATAAAATAAGTAAAATATAGTTTCTGTTCTTTGTATTCTCTTATATTATTCTTCATCATTATCATCTGCATTTTGTTGAGGTTCTTCTTCATAAATAGCATAATCTTGTACTTGATATTGAGCAATGGATTCAATAATAAATTCTGGTGAGCAAAATCTTATACCTAATTCAACACATTTCCAATATTTATCTTGCCGTTCTTGAACATATGATTGTTCACAAAGTACCACAATCATTTTACCTTGTGCTGTCCATCGTGTTACTTGATCTGTACGTAATGATGAACATGTATGACCACCACATAAGGTTATTAATGTACGTAATTCTTGATTATCCATTAACTAAATATAATCAAATTTTAAGAAGTTTTTTAGCTTCATTAGACTAATATAAAATTTAGTAGAGTGAAAAAAATCTGTAGAAGACTATGGTTGTTTTCCAAGAATCATGGGTCGGCAAGAAAAAAGATAGCTTTTTTTCTTTTTTTTTATTGGCATTCTATTTTCTTCTCTTCATTGATATACGTCTTTGTCCATATGATAAAATTTTCAGCTCCTTATTATGATGTTTTCAGGGAATATATGTCGTAGTAGAAACTAAAATTCAGTAGAATTTAAAATTCTACTAGTAGAAATTAAAATTGCAATTTCTACTAGGAGAAATTGAAATAACCGGCGATTTTAAGTTGCACTAGTGGAAATTAAAATTTTAATTTCTACTATAGGAGAATTTTAAATTCTACTAGAAACTTACACTATAGAATTATGTGAATATCTCCTAGAATAGAAATAAAATTAAACCTTATGTGATCACTAGATTATTCGATTTAATGGCATAAACAACTTGTAATTCCCCAATAGTAACTAATTTAAAGTGTTTATGGAGCTAGAATTTAAATAGCTTCACCTCAACCACCTTTTATTACCGTATATGATGTCATTATAAGCAGCTTGTGTGATAACAAACTTTGAACGAAATCTTTCGCCTAAAGATTCTATATGTTTATCAAATTTCGAATAAAATGGTTCCATTTCATGTAATATTCAAGTCTTTTTTATTTTGATATTGACGCGAGAACTTCAAATTAAATATCAAAATCTTTTTTCTTTGCGTTCTACATATTGTATCATTCGAATGAGGGTTAATTTTATTTTCTATTCTAGGAGATATTCACATAATTCTATAGTGTAAGTTTCTAGTAGAATTTAAAATTCTTCTATAGTAGAAATTAAAATTTTAATTTCCACTAGTGCAACTTAAAATCGCCGGTTATTTCAATTTCTTCTAGTAGAAATTGAAATTTTAATTTCTACTAGTAGAATTTTAAATTCTACTGAATTTTAATTTCTACTACGACATATACATGTAACAAAGGGTCAAACTTGTTCAGTTGGCAATTCAAAATTCTCTGTAGATCTTCATTTTATATGTATCATTTTCTTTTTATGCCAAAGCATATGTCAAGATGCAGGACATGATAGAGTATTTTTTTTCATGAAAATCTTATATTTTAAGGGAAGAAAAGATTTCCAAAAAATGATCTCTAATTTTGAAATTATCCGTTCATATAGCAGTATTAAAGCTTGAAAATCATCGAAAATTTTTATAAAAAACAAGGTGTTAAATAAAAGATCAGACCGTAGACTATCTCAATTGCGATTTTTCTGATCAAAATTTACTTTTTTAAGGCGATGGTCTTCACTGGCAAAGATGTCTTAGTATATATCTATTATATCTACAACAGATCTCAATGCATTATTCTACGTCTTAATAAGCTGAAAAACATGTTAATTTATCACTAGTAAGTTTTGCAGGACCAAGTTTTTTTCGTTCCAATTCGATAACTTCTTGTGTAGTAGTCTCGACGAGAGGCAAACGGCAGATTTTAAGATTGAAATCTCTGTTGTTTCACTCTCGGGTCTCGATTAAGCATCTATAATCCTAATATGATTGAAATTGAAAGAAGACAGCTAATGAGTTTCCTTCGATAGGTTTGTTTTGAATATCATTCAACGTCTTTTTTCCTTGTTACGGAACTCTAGGAAAGTAGTCAGTCTACCACGTGTTTCCCTTGGATGCTATAAAAACATGCTCAACAATCGTTATCCTTCCTTCTATTATGACGAGAGAGATCCTCAAAACTTCGACTGAAAAATCATATTTACATTTTGTACACCATTACATTTAAGCATAAATATATGTTTAGAAAATAATGAATGTCTTCGTGGTATAAGACGTGAACGTTGCATACCACCATGATACATTGTTGAACATGTTAAATCACCACGTATTTCAAATTGTAAAGCTAATTCATCTAGTAAAAGTTTATCACAATGAAGACATTCATCAATCCAACGTATTGATAAAACAGTTAAATGACGTGCTAATGCATGAACAACTTTTGATGATAAAGCACATACAAATGGAATTGTTGTATCATCAGTTATTAAATGTGTTGTTTTTTCATCAATTTCATCCGAATAATGAATATTAAAACGTTGAAGAAATTGATCAAGACGATCCTGATTGAAACAATCGATTCATAACAATAATAATAATAATTGATTTTTATTATTATTTTTTTTTTTTGATTCTTCTTACCATTTGTTCATCAGTTAGACGAGATGCAGTTATTGACATTGATTTTTGAGCCAAAATATAATCATCAGCATGACTATCAATTGAACTAGCAGATGAACATGCTTGATTGGACTACAAATATAAAAACTAAAAGAAAATGCAAAATTCATTTTTGTTCATCTATGATTTTACATCCGATGTTGCAGCTGATTCATCCATAGTTGTTGATGTATTAGGTAAAATTGATTGAACAGGTGGTACTAAAATTAAAAAATAAACAAACAAATTCGATTTTCATATAACAAAAAATATGCAACATACTATGTTGAGTTGAATCATATCGACATCGTTTAAGAAGAACCCATTCATCTGACTTTCGACGTTTATTACTATTCTTATTGACTAGAGTTATGGAAGATATTTGAGACGATTGTTTGTTTATAGATGTTGATGCTAAATCATATGAGAATAATATGATATATATGATTATGCAAGTACTAATACAGCAAAGAAGTAAGAAATAGTCGTACGAATATTTTTCGAATAGAACTTATTATGAATTGAATTCTTTTCATATAAATCGATATAAAATAGGCATATTTCAACTTTAGAAAGGACTTTAAAGAAAGAAAGTAAGCGTTTGTATTTGAAAGAGATTCTACTGGATTTAGGAGCCTATCTTGAACTAAGATATCATATAGATAGTTTTGTAGAGCAATTTATGGCATACTGAATGATATACAAGAAATCAAAGTTTACTCAAATTTTGATCTATTATGGGTCTATATCCTAGTTATAATCTTGGAACAATATAGATAATACTCATAGATATTGTAGTTCATAGAATAAACTTATGGAAATTTGATACAGCTATAAGTGCTCTTCAATTTTCTATAATCAATACTTTTCATCATACTTAAAACTGTGTACGACAAAACACTTGAGTACCAATATGAAACTTTCTTAAAACTTTTATATTACCAAATTCTATATGTTTCAGACGGAAGAGCCTAGAATCATTGTCAATTTGCAAGACTATTTGTCAGACTAGCCTATTTTCTTGGTAGGAGAAATATTATTTTAATTATTTCTTTTTCAAATTTTTATTTAGAGTATCCGGTTTGCTTTATGCATAAAACCCTAGAAAAATCTATAAATATCTTATGTTCATGTCAAAAATAACTTTCCCATGTTTCCGTACTCCTCTTCCGTGCTTTGAAGGCCTTTTTTTTTCATTTATGAAATAATATCAATTTATTACGGATGCTGTGTTGATTATAGGTATATAATAATTTTAAAAAATATCGAAGTATACCGACATTGTTTCTAAGAAAGTAGGTTATTCTGGGAAATAATCTTGCAAATTAGTAAGAACTTGCTGTTGTTCCATCTGAAACGTGTAGAGTTCGATAGCAGGCAACTTTTCGAGACAGATTCACGTTAGTACTTACATGTTCTATAGTACAACGTGGAACACATTGGAATATCATATAGTCAAGATATAAACGAGACCTAAGATAAGTGAACCTGTTTAAATATGATGAAAACTATTGATTATAGAAAATTGAAGACAATTTATAATTCTGCCAAGTTCAATTTCAATACTAAGTTTGTATGAGTTTAGTATCGAGACCACAATATCTATCAATGCCATGTATATTTCTCAAAGATTAACGCCAGTCTATACATCAATAGCCCACTAAGCTTTGAGTAAATATTGATTTATCATATTAGAATTTAATGTGTCGTAAATTGCTCTGCAAAATTATATATATGGTATACTGCTTTAAGATAGGTCATGAAGTTCGTTGTGACTCTTTCGTAATTGGAACAATATTTGTAAAAATCTCGGACTACAAGTAATACCACTTACAATTCGGTTGTGCTGTTTTTCGTCGCCAATCTATTTATAATTCAAACACACAAAAAAAAACATATCATTAAACAAATCAATAACCTACTTTTAAGACCAAGAGTTAAAGGCGTTTGAATAGCTAAACAGACGATAAAATCATTTTCGATTCTAATAAAATTTCAATATTAATAAATATACTAACAACATCGAACTTTTGATGATATCATTGTTGCTGTTGTTGTTGTTGCTTTTGACGATGCAGTAGCAGCTGCTGATTGTTGAATCAATTGTCGACGTTTTGATTCATTAACAGTTATACCGGATGTTTGATGATAATGCCCAACACAAAGACTTCTATAAGCAACAAATGCCTGACATTCTTCTCCGCCATCATATTTACATAATTGTCTCCAAACTCGTCCATTAAATCTTTGTCTTTCAATCGAACCGTCACGTCGAACATGTACACGAATTTGATCTTTATCAGGTAAATTTGACGGTGTACTTGCTGTTGTTGTCATATTTTTACTATTATTAGATTTCTCGTTTTTTTTTTTTTTTTTTATAATTATTATCTATTACAATAAAAGAATAAAGTTACAAGTCAAGCAAATAATAGAGCTCATTCTTAATCAAATATATCTTGATTTATATTTTTTTGTACAAAAAAAACAATATTCGATATAAAAACGACAAAATAAAATACATAAATAAAATTTCAATTATAACGGAGTTTCTTCGTATAACACAAATGATTTTGGACGATATTCAAGTATAGATTCAAGAACCCAATCGGATGAAACAAAATGTATACCTAATGAACGACATTGTTCATAATTATGACGTCGTTCTGATACATATAATTTATCACAGAGAACAACAATTTCGAATTGTTCAAGTAGACTTTGTGTTACACAAGTTATTATTCGTCCACCACATGCTGTAATTAAATCTTGTAAACGATCATTTGTCATTTTAATTTCGTTATTTTCCGTACATTTGATCATAAAACATATATTATCAAAAAGTGAATGACGTTTATCAATTGAACGTGATCGTTTTGGACCACCTTGAGAATGATAATCAGTATCATCACCTTCAATTTCAAATGTAGTTTCATCAACAATTCTATCATATTTAATACAATCAATTAACCAACGATATGAAACACAAAAACAATGATTTGCTATAGCTTCAATTAATTTCATTGATAATGGTGAACGTAATATACGTTTATCATCATTGGTTATTAAATGTGTTGTTTGAGGAGTAATAGATTGGGCTTGAGTAACACGAGTTGAAAATTTTCGTGAAAATTCCTCGACTATATCCTAGAATGTATTTCATATGATTATATATCATAGATCGAAAGCGAATAACTCACTTGTTGATAACGATCAAGACATGTTACAGAAAAAACAATTGGTTTGTTTGCATCTCTCTAAATAATAATGAGAAGACAAAAAAAAACAGAAATAAGATTTCATTCATGATATTCTATATTAATATAAAACATACACGAAATCGTATTGGCATTTCATCAGTATCCAAATCAGCTATTGTTATTGCTGATGGTGGATTTGTTGTATTTGTAGATGATTCACTAGCTATTGGTTGAATTTCGTATATACTTTCATTGTTCATGGACTTTTTTGGGCTTAAATCAACGTTTAATTCATTTGAAGAAGAAACATGATGAGTACGTCTTTTGTGTTTCTAAATGATTATAATTTATAATAAAAAATAATGAATATTGAATTTTTATTTCAATTATAAAATCACAACATTAGACAATAATAAGACGATCATATGGAAAGACTTACTCAAGTCATTAGAACAAATCGTACAAAGAAAATATTCAGTAATTTCTGTAATTCACTTTATTGATCTTATGTTGAGGTGATCATATCTTTTTTCATTCTATAAAAAATTTATATATGTGGGATTCTGCTACACAAACTTAAATGTCCTTTGTCATGTGTCTGGACAAAAACTATGAGTATATCAGCAACTAACCGATGGTTGTTTGACATTTGAATTGTTGATTATCTTTCGACTGTCACTCTATCGCGACATATCAATATTTGCTCTCTGACTGGCAATCTACTACAGGTAACCGAGGATAATGCAAACAAATGTGCGACACAAGTTGTTAAAATATTATCAGTGTCAATAAACAAAAAGAAACATTCATTGCTCATGGATTTCGCCGTATAATATTAAAAGAAATTCATGATCTTTACTACTGAAATAATCTCCTTCACTAAGAATTAAAAGTAAATACTGGAAATTGTAGTCTTCTATTGGTGATTACAGATGGTATTTATTTGTTCATGTAAGTTATTCCTTTCTATATTAGTAAAAGAAAAACATTATTATATATACGAACCTTAATGTATTCAGCACGAAAAAACTTGTTACATATGTCGCATTTTATTTTGCTAATTGGTTCAAAATTTAATTTAGATACTGGTCTCGGACGTAATCGTCCTTCTCCAATATCCCATTGATTAACTAAAATTTGCATTGGATCTTGTTCCATTGTATTATCTATTTCGGAACAAATATCTAAATATAAAAGTAAAAGAAAAAAAACATAACAAAACAAATGAAAAATCATCATAATTTGAATTGTTTATTGATTACTTGATTGATCACTGATTAAATTATTTGTTTCAATATGACAAACGTCACGCTACATATAAAGAGAAAACAAGCAAAAAAAATTCTTAATTATTCTCTTGAATAATATTACCTCTGATGTATGATTATTATTCAATTTAATTGGAAATTTTCCTTGATGTACTTTTCTCATATGACGTAAATAAGCTGATCGATGTGAAAATTCATGTTGACATCTTGAACAATATTTATTTTTAGGATTTAATTGTTTTCGTCGATGAACTTTTGTATTATGATCTTCAAGTTTATTTGTTATTGTTATAGAACTTTCAGTATCAAGTTTATATTCATCTATTAAAAGACAAATAAACAAAAACAAAACTAAATAAGAAAATTATACTAATAGAAATATTTACTTAGTGATTTGATATTTTTCAGTATTGTTCGTTGTGATTCAACATTACTTTCATGTTCTTCGGACATTTTCGACGTAATATTTTGTTGATTTTCATTATTATTATTAACACATATTGTTGAAATTTCATCTAAACAACAAAAAAAAACCCAAAGAAACATCAGTAAAAAGAAAAAAAACAAAAAATTACTATTTTGTTTTTTCTCGTTTGATAATATTCTACCTTTTGTTAAACGTCGTATACGTATAATTGGATGACCAGAAGCTTTTTGTTTAGCAAGTGCATGTTCAACATAATATGTGCGTCTTTTTAATTTATATATTTCTTTTTGCATTTGAAAAAGTATATTAGTCATTGCTATTACATATTGTCGATTAAGAGAATGTGTAAGATGGAATAATTTATCATATCGATAACGACGTTTTGGTAAACGAAAAGCATCTGTTATATTATAAAGAGAAAAACAAAATTATTTATTATTGTTTTAATTTACTTTTTAATCTTGATGAATGATATTGAATTGAACGATCAGTTGTGCTTGCTGTCGCACTTGATGAGGGTGAGGGTGTATTGATATAGGAATCTCCATTCATATTACTATCCTGTACACGAATAGAAGCTTCACTTTCATCAAGGGATATGTTACTGGCACCAGATGATATACATTTATCAGGAGAATAATTAGGAGGGAGTTTCGAAGAACCTGATGATGCCATGATTTGTTTTTTTTAATTAAATCGAATATTTAAAAATGTATTATATATATATATATATCTATTATTAAACAAAAATCTCATTAACTTGAAACGCAAAAATTTGTTTTTTGTTTTTTTTTTTTCATGAATAGTTTTGAATGAAAAAAAAATACATTACTTTAAGTATAAAAATGAAAAAGAATAGAAGTTTTGGTAGAATAATGTTTGCAGTCATATTTTCGGCGAAACGCTGACATCTTATCTGAAATAGGAAAGAAAAAAAAAACGGTCGCGATAAAATATTCAAACTCTACTGAAGGTCATAAGTTTTGTAGACGATAATATTTTCTTTTTTTACTTTTTTTCTTTTCTGATAAAAAAAAAGAAGCTTACATAAAAGCACTACATTGCCTCTTCCTACTTGTGCGCAACAATATAAAGAATGAAAAAAAAAAAAAAAAACTCAGAAAATGACGAACATGAATTGGAAACAAGCGATGTGACAATCATACAGGTGAACTTCTTTGATAAATATACAATATGCCTTTTTTGTTATTATGAAGGCATATAAGTGGATACTTAAAAGTCTTTTTACTCATTTTGCTTTTTAGCTTCACACGGCACCCATGATACAACAACAATTCTTTCTTTATCTGTTGCTACTGCTGCTTGTGAATTTGCTGGTCGAAATTCAGCTGCATCAGGATTTAGATTAGTTGTCTGTGAGATTTCAATCTAAAAATAGAATATTAAAATAAATGACAAAAAGTGTCATTTAATCAAAACATGTTATTTTTTGTGTATGACAAAAATTACCAGTTTACTTGGCATTTCAGCAGTAGAATATTCTTGTTCCATAAAAAGCATACATTCACGCATTTGTTCAAACATTTCATCTTGCTAGAGAAGAGAAAATAAAAATAAAAAAAATAAATATCAAATGAAATATAATATAACAGATTTATTGATTATGTAAATGTATTATGATTACATAAAAGAATAAGAGCATATTATTATTATTAATACCTCTTCTTGGGAAAAATTATTCCATATCTAAAATAAAATGATTTATTCTATTATTGTTATCTACTTTCTATTAGAAAAAGAATAAAGCAGTATGCAAATATACCGGTCTATTCTGGTTCCAATATTGTGAATACTAAAGGCATAATCATAGACATTTAATTAATCATGGAGGAAAAGAAAAAACATATGTCATTTATTCATACCTCGTTTTCATATCGCGCAAATGCATTTTGTACATCTTCAGCATAGATTGGTTCGTCTTCATCATTATCAGTTAATTGTTCACTTGTCATTCTTTCAACTGTTGCTTCAAGTTCATTTTCAAGTTCATCGGGAATATCATCATCAGCACCATCATTACCAATATTTTCATATTGTTCATTAGGGTCTCTTCAAATAAACGCATATTTATAAATATTGATAAAACAGTTTTCTTACATTTGTCCTGTTGTATTATAATGAGGACCACCATGTATTAATGATGATTGATTACTAGAGTTTTCACTATAAATATACAAAGTCAATTAAAATAGTAACTCTATCATCATTAGTATCTTTAATGTTTTTAGCAAATTTAGAGAAAAATACAAAGAATATTTAAGTCTAAAAAGCTTTCTAAACAGTAAATAATGTATGAATTTGATAATTAATTTATGAGAAACATGCGTTCAAATCTTTGGTACTCTACTTAAATGTTTAATTTTGCGTTTAAATAATATACTAAAAAATCTTATCAAAATATTTTCGACTTGTCATGACCTTTGGTTTTCTTTTTTTTTGAAATCTACAAGGTATAAAAACAAAGTTTTCTACGTTATATTTTAAGATAAAAAAAAAAAAACAGGGAATGAATCATTTTAATACAATGATAAAAAATTGATTAAACATACTTTTTGAAAGTTGTTTTGACTTCATAATAGCTAGAAATTTTATTCTTTCTATTCTCATGAATTAAATTTTATTTGAAATTTTCATAATAGGATTAAAAATTTGTACTTATCAAATGACACAAAAAAAAAATCATCTCTCATGAAAAGTAACTTTTAAAATTATTAATTTTTTATATCATAACATACGAATAGTTTTGAGTTATTGGTGGATATTCTTCATAGTCACTGTAAAGAGGATCAATAGGTGCTGAAGGCGTAGGATTTGTATTTTGCGGTTGTTCATTGCTGGAATTTTTTGATTGTTCTTGGGAAGAAGACATCTAAAAAAATAGGAAATATATAATTAATTTTCTATAAAAATATTTGATTTGATTATAATATTATTATTTTTCTTTTCAATATTCAATTTTTAATTATTGGACCAAAATAAGAAAAATATGTTGATAAAATTAATTTGTGTAAACGAAATAACAACCGAATAATATCTATCTATATATATATATAGATGTATTCTATTTTTCACTATTGGTAATATACATCATTCAATATAACGATAACATCGATAGTAGCGTAATTTTTCTTACACGAAATTCAATGAATACATTAGAACATTATCTTTTTATATTAGTGGGAATTTTCATATGACGTTATTTGAATTTTAAGATAAATATTTATTTCTTGATTATTAATAGATGTCACTACTAATCAATAAATCTTTTTGGGTAACATGAAATCTAATTTTAGCTACGCCCATTATACAAAACTTTTCTTATCCATGAATAAATATAGAATACATTGAATTTTTAAGAAAAAAAGGAATTTTTTCAAATATAGATCTTACACAAAAAAGAAAAATCTCACATATTAAGTCTCATAACAAAACATGACATTAATTATTGTTACTGGTATTGTGACTCAATATTAACTAAGCAAAAGTGATTGTATAATTATTTTTTTTCTGAATTAGTGGTGTCACGAGATCAGAAGAATGTCTGAATAATTGCAAAATATCAAAAAAATAAAAAAAAATATAAAACTTATGATTCGTAGAAATTAATTGACATCGTTTATAATGAAATCTAAGATTCAAGATTTTTTTTCGAAAAAAAAAATTACTTTTGAAAATTGAAAAAAAACATTTGTTTTTTTTTCATGATTCTATATTTAATTATTAATAAACAAAATAATGTTACATAAATTTAGAACTTGAAGGAAGAAATATACATATCTAAATAAAAAAAATTATTCAAATTCGAGTTTAATAGTATCAAAATTCTTATTAGCTGTATTAGCAAAAAATTTTAACCAAAAAAAATTCATTCGAAAAAAAGCTAACAAAAATTTGATATTTACACAGAAGGTTTCTTTTTTTGATCAAAATCAAATAAAGTTTCATTCATCTTACCGGTTGTATTACATATCCCAGTTTTTATTTTCAGTCTCTGCATTATATAATATGTCTTATAATACAAAACTTGTTAAATATCTGAAAATAGTAATCGAGTCGATTATCAAATACGTAAATTGGTTAGTACAAAGAAAAATAACATAATATACAATGAATTGATTTTTAGAATGAATGAAAATAGACAAGTGGTATTGTCTAGTAAAAACATATGTTATATTATAAAACAAATAGACATACTCACATCATAGAGAAATGTAGGAGATGAAATTTTTCACTAGAATTCTAAACTAGTACATAGATAGGCAACTGTACAATTCCTTTTTTTTCTGTAAGTGTTAATATTAACAAGTGTATCATAGTCATATCTTCAACTAGTGGTAGTATTTCTTAAAACAGATAATGAAGAGCGATATCTGACATTTTTAATTATAACCTATTATATTAATATTGACAGAAATAAACTCACGTGCAAGTAGGTTTAATAGCAACGCAAAACAAATATATAAAACGTGTATAAATACTAATGTTCTTTGAAGACAAGCTATCAATTAATTTTTCTTTTTTTGTTACTGTTTTCGAAGAAGATATCCTTGTTTTCTAGTCTATTCTAGTAAAACTTGTAAATATTCAATATTTATGAAACTTTATATGCTTGATGAGCATTATTAGTACTACTCAATATAGCTACAGTTGCTTAACTATATACAAATAAACTTTTAGCACAAAAATCTTAATGTAAATAAAAATACAATAACAAGACAAAAAAAACATTTTTGACGTCAATATTTTGTTATTACGGTTTTTTTTGTGCTATACATCACAGAGAAAAAAAAAAACAAATTACTCCTGTAGGATATAAACAATAATACACTAGTTTCAGTGCATTTGACGACTATGATTAAATGAATTTATACACTTCGGGTTTATTATATCATTATGCAACTGTAAACAAGTAAGGTTAGGTTTGTAAACTATAACAAGTTTGTACTTCTTTTTCTGTTTGTAATGATCTTTCGATTTATAACTTGTGATTATGTTTAATTAAAAAAACAGTCAATAGTGATTTCGGAATAATTTTTCATTCGTGATACAATCGACTTTCTCATTTTCGCATATTATATTCAATGTATAACAAAATTAACTGATACAATTTCAATTTTTTTTCTCTCTATTTTTCATATTACTACAAGCTTCTTTTTTTTTCATAATAACATATTCTAAATAAAATAATAAATATTCTCAAATGATCAATTGATTGTGATATTTTGATTATTTTCTCTTGTAATTCACCTTGAACAAAATATAAAAAGATCAATGTATGCGGACGCGTGCTTTGTTCAATAGCAAAAAAAAATATTATATGAAAAAAAAGACAAAAAAAATTGTAGAGAGATAGAGACAAAAAAAAAGAGAAACTGTGGTGTTTGGGATCGATTATATATAACGATGACGACGACGACTCTACTCTCTCGATTTCTTTGTGTTTATAAAGCGCGCGTGTACATATTGATGTGCAACAAGTTTGACAAAAACAACGATGACGACGACGACAACTGAAGTTCGATATGCAAAAAAATAGTCTTTTTTTTTTTTCTTAATTGATTTTATGTATTGATTTGCCGCTTGACAAAACGAATTGTCAATAAGCAGATAGCAAGAAGAATAACAATTTGTTGAAAATTTTGAAGACTTGGACCACTACCGAAAGCTCTTGTTTCTTGATCCCATGCATATTCTAATAGAAAGTAAAAAAAAAACATAATTGAGTTGATCGAAGAAAAAAAAAATTTTTTTCAAAACAACTTACTGAAAAAGGCAACAAATGGAATAAATGTCGCCCAAAGTCCAAGAAGGCCAATGGCTGCTAGACAGCAGATACAAGTGACAGCACCGCCTAAGCCACCTAATACTCCGCCAAGAGCACCGGCTCCAGCAGCAGCAGCAGGAGGAGGAAGTGGACGTATTGGTGGTCTGATATAGAAATTCCATATTTAATTGTAAAAATAAAAAACTAATAATGATAAAGTTGTACTTACCTTGGTCTGTACATTTCTCAGTCAAAGCTGGGCAATGATCTAGAAATAAGATGACAATACAAAAAAAATCTAATAGTTCATGATCAATGAAAAAAGTCAGCATTTTTTGTTCTTTAACGAAAAAAAAAAACAAATAACCAATGCTAAATCCTCGTATATGTGCTCTCTCTCCCTCTTTCGTCCTAGCATAACCATATAGGGCTCGACGTTAATTATTGTTTGAAAAAAATACGCCACTGTATTTCTTCATACTCTGTTTCTTTTTTCTCTCGGTGTCTCTCTCTATCTATCTATTCCCATCCGAAGGAGACATTCATACACATTCACGTCATGGTTGACGGCATTTTTTTGCTTTCATGATAGTATAAGAGAGAGAGAGGAACTAATATATTTCTCACCAATAAATATGACATATTCTATATAAAAAAAAGTTATTTTACCTACATTAACTACCAAAAAAAAAACCGAAAAAGAGAGAAACAAGTTATGCACATCAGCCTCCATATTTTATGATGAATATATGTATATGTATGACAAAAAAAAGTGCAAAAAAAATAAATCATGCGGAACGCAAAAAAAACGAACGCATGTATACGTAAAAGAATGACAGGCGTCTGACGAATATACTAGCAAGTAAACGAGCATCGACCTTGATAATAAAATTCGACTATGATAATCACACATGTTTGTACAGAACAAAAAGAGTCCAATTTAAAAAGAAAAAAAAACCAACCGAAACTTATATTGTTACCAAATAAAATTATTTAATCAAATATGTTAGATAAATGAATTGAATAATAAAAAAATTCTAAATTTAAATGAGTAGATCGTCTCTTGAATATGTTTATTCGACATATTTTTCAACATCTAATCTTATTCGGTTATTATCATCTATGCAATAAAAATATGCATATATTTTGCTTTTTCTTATTTTGTTTTTAATAATTCATAGACAAAAAAATAGACAAGCGATAGAAAATAAAAGATTAAAACAGGTATATATGTATTTAATAATAGAAACAATTCAGCAGCATTTTATTTGATATTTTTTGCAAAAAAGAAATGATAACGACGACGACGATGCCAACTGACTATTGTTGTTAATATTATAACGTATTGTACCTGTTCAAAAAAAAAAGACATTTTTTCCGGCGCGCAAAATATAAAAAAAGAAAGAAAAATATAGTTGTGTTGCAAAAAAATAGTTCTTTCGATAGATATGCGTGTGTGTTGTTCAAAATGTGTATAAAGGTGTTTGATTAGATACGTTGAATCACCACTCAGGTGCTAGCAACACCACGACGATGTTTTGATAACATATAAATCGAGCAAATAAGAGCACAGAAGAGAACCACAAGGTTGAGTTCAATCATCGTACCAGCACCTTGAATATTTCTACGAAGTTGCTGTTGAATGGCGTCTAAAAAACAATCATTTAATAAGAATTAAATTTATGTTACAAATTAAAAGAAAATATTCACTTACTCATATAAGCTGCAGCACCAATCATAGTAGCAAAAAGCCCTAGAAGAGCTAATGCTGATAGACAACCAAGACAAAGGAGTGGTATACTTAAACCACCGATTAAACCGGCAAGACCACCCGCAGCGGCACCAGCGCCTAATCCAGCTCCTGGACCTCCTGGTAATGGAGCTCGAGGGATAAATGTTGGTCCTCGTCTAAAAATATTAAAATTCCAAAATACTACTTTTTTTTGTGCAATATTTAATATAAATTTACCGAGAATAGGAAGCTCGACGACGACGAACTCGATATGGTCGCGATTGAGGGTACATGATCTTGGTCTTTTACAAGAAAAGTCCTGTCGGCAGCGACTAAATCTAGATAAGACAAATAAAATATATAAATGATGAAATCGTTGAAGAATTTTCTATTGTAATCCTTCTCATTAACACCAACACGCTGTTGGTTCTACATACAATATTTCTTCCTCGAGCACGGTCCGATTCACTTGCTCTCTCTTTCTCTTCCTCTCTTTTTCGTTTTTGTTGTTTTTTGTTGATCAGTAAAGAGAAGAAGAAAAAAAGGAAAACAACTTATAATTACATATCTCTCCTCAAAAAAAACCTAAGCAAATGCCCCATCGATCAGACGGGAAAATGGTAAGAAAAAAAAATCGAGAAAGAGTAAAGACCTCCAAAAAAAAACATGACAAAAAGGGATGACTATGATATTATAGGTATACACAAAAAAATCGAATCTCGAAGGCAATTCATATTCCTACCCCTACAGTAGTCAATACGAATTCGCTCAACCATGCCCAAATATAGTGGTAGTTAAAGTAGATACTTTGCACAAAAAAAGAGAGAGAAAAAAAAGAAAGAGAGAAAGAAAATGCAAGTAGCATTTTTTTATAACTACTATGCTAAAAAAAATCGAAAGAGTAATACAAACAGAGACAAACAGACAAGAACGTCATGGGTGGGTGCTTGACGGCAATGCGATGACGCGTAGGTAGATGAGGATTGCAACTGTATGAGAAAAAAAAAAGAGAGAAAAAAATATCAGAAAACATAATATAATGTCATTGAAAGATGAACTGGTCATGGTTTTGTGGCATTGAAATATGGATAAAGAAGAAAAAAAAATGAAAAATATAAAATGAGGAAAAGCAACAGATTGATATTGATTCAAAATTTTAACAAAATAAAAAGACAAGATCGAAATAGATAAGAATAATCTACGATATATGATCTAAATTATGACATTATTTTTTTTTTAATAAGCGTTCTTGATTGTCTTTCAACTACAAGGTTTTTTATGGCTATATTTAATTAGATATATCAAAATATGTATAATAGTACTTTTCATCGTGAAAAAAAAAATGTTTTTATTAAACACCTTTCTGATTGATACAAAATTAGATAAAATAAATCTTTATACATCGACACTAAAATTATTCCAACACAGTCCAATACGAATATTTACTTTCTAAAAGAATAATGAAATAGACTCAATGACATTGATTTTATATATTGATGTAATTAATAAAAAAAATTGTTAATAAACAAACAAAGCTTTTTTGAACAATAAATAAAAAGTAGATTCTAAGTGATCAATATTTTAGTTGTGAAAAATTTCTATTTATTATCGAAATATTAGGAACATATAATTAACTACATATTTAATATTGATTGAATAAATCATAACTCACTCGTAATATTTCTATATATATATCATTTTTTGAGATCATTCTCAACGATTGTAAAATATTTATTACATAAGATCATTTGGAAAAGTCAAAAGTTTTTTTCTTTCTATGATATCAATCATATTTTTGATTGAAATTCGTCATTTCTCATTTTTAAAATAGCATCCAGTTGTAAGTACAGGAATAAAAAAATAATATTTTCGTTCGAACAGAATCGACTAACGTGAAAAGATTTTCAGATGAACGATTAAGAACTAGCTCAACCAGGATTTATGACAGCCTTCAATAATCGGAAATTATTATTATTGATATGAGTGAGATGTTCGGGAAATAAATAAACACTGAGAAGTAACCTAATTATTTGTTAAACATATTAAAATAAATCATGTTTTTCTATATTATTCTGTACAATAAAATTAGAAAGTTTTTCGCTACACGAAATCTTTTGGCGCTGATCACGGTAGCTTTTTCCTAGCGGTTTCGTTCGTGGCGACCAGGACTAATTCCGAACATGTCTACTCAGATGCAACACTTACTGAGAATATCAATACAATTAGCTACTTAAAAATAGATAAAATCAAGTTTTTAAATAAAAACTTAGCTTTTTTTAAATGATTTTGTGAATCAAATCAGAAGAGACAGCTTCTCCATCTTTTATTATGAGTAAACATGTATATCAAACGGCAAATTTTATTTGTATTTATGTCGTCATATTTATTATGATGTGTTTTATTTTAGAGTAAAAGATATTATCATAACAATAATGAATTAATTTATGATTTATGAAAAACTTGCTGTAAGGAGTAAGAATGTCATTGAATTTCAGATTTCGATTCTGGTCTCGATCATCAAGACCAAGACTACTATTGCATGTGTCTAGTGGTAACTAGTATTCAATGACAGTTTAGTTTGTAGAAACGAGATAGTATGAGATAGCAGAATTTTTAATCGGTCCGCAAAAAAATTTTCCATCGAAAAGTAGTGTCTGTTGTATGAGAGTAAGCAGTTTTCAAAGGCTTAAATCTTAATCTAAGAAAACTTTGATTCGTTATTTTTTTGTTAAAGCAGGATTTGGATTAATAATCGCTGAAGTGAACGCGTTCGGTGTCAAAAGTGTTCAAAAATTTTTTGAAATGCTTATGAAGATATTTTTCTTTCGTGCAAAAAAAGGAAGATAGAATCATTTTTTTTAATCGCTTAAGATGGTCCCCAATTGAAAATCTATTCTTGTACCAATAATAGTGAAAAAAAGATAGAAGTAATCAAGTTGCGAAAAAGCGTGGATGTGTCTTCTGATCTTTATCAGTACAGAACTTTGCTATGTATTTCGACGTACGTTTTCCTATGGTGACAGTATCAATTAAACTGTATTCTATACACAGAGAAAACATTTATGACTCTATCGTTATTTTAAACATACATTATCTCGGACAAAATATTTTTTCTAACATCTCCCAAATTTTCAACGATCGGGCCACTAGCATATACCTGCTCTGTTTGCCCGCATATAGGAGATTACTAGAATAGTGTGACCTCCAAAGAATTTCTACTTATATTTAGATTTGGTCGAGATAGAAAGTTTTTAGTGGATTTCTCTCGCTAGAGTCCATTTTTTCGAGAAGAATCATATTTGGGAATTTCAGTTAGAAAGTTTATGCATATAAATGTCTCGATTGGATCATCTCATGTAGTATAAAGTTTCTTCCGTATTGAATATCACATTGTCAAGATATGGATTGCTCAAAAGATCCCTCTCTTACAAACCACTCAAAGAAATGTTTAAATATAATGAGAACCTCAGATGTTGGCAATCGAACATAATCATGAGTAACAATACTTCGAAAGTTACGCTACTGTCATAATCTCCTATATTTTTTTTCCTCTATCATTTCCACATAAGTAGACTTCGATAGAGAATGAAAAGTTTGGAAAGCGTACATATGCCTAAACGTTTTTTTCTTGAGTCATAACTGTTTTTGCTGTGTTTGTCACCTGCTGTAAGATATTTCAGGAAAAAAACTTGAATAACATAGTTCGAGTCAGTTATTTTGTTGATAGATAGATCTCAGAGTCTAATCAATACTTCTGTCTCTCGATGCTCGTCCGGTTGAAAAAAGATCACAAATTTATTAATAAGTAATACGATAAATCTAAATTTTATGAAAAAAAAGTGCTATTTCGAAAAAAAAACCATTGGCTTAAGCTACAAATGTTAGAGCATGCTTTTAATTCTAAGACTTGTATATATGGACGAGATATCAAACTAACAATAAGTTTATCGAGTTTGTTATTTCAGAAGATTGTGAAGTAGACCACAAACACAATAAAACGAGCAAAGAAAAATTCAACAAAAATAAATCATTTTCCAATATTTCATACTTCATCGAAAACTACTTTAGCTAATAGATGGCGTTGAAATAGTTTCAGAAAACAAGTATGTTAATTGACAACAGTGGTGGAAAACGACCATCTTGCCCACTCCCTACCTACCTGAAACAAGCACATGCCTTGCTTTCTGAGCCAGCCACAGACCATACAGGTTGTCTACTTTTTAAAATTTCTCGTATGAGAGAACATTTTCAAATGATCCGTCGCTTTCGAATTCGAAATGGGTGCATACGGTAGACTCCAGTAAGATATGAGAAATTTCCAAGGAATAAGTCTCATTGGACATTTGATGCAGACTTATAGCCGTTTTATTGAAACTTTAGCCTCTGGTATGGTATATACCAACAAATTGAATGACAGTATTTCAAGAAACTTTTAGAGCTTTCTACTGACAAAAACTCTGATAAAATGTCCATAACTCTGGAAATAAAGTCTAAAACGACTTATTCTTTTGCGATTTTCATATCTCACTAGAGTCTGCCGTATATATCAATTCTGAATCCAAAAGCGATGAATACGTTCTCTCGCTAGTTCTCACCAGAAACTTGGTTTTTTCATGAAACAATATAACTATCGAAATAGATCGTGGAAAACTCCTTGCCTCTGGAAACTGAGAAACGATTCTTTTATTAATTTGGCCAGATACAATCATATCTAATAGTACATATTGCTACTACATTGTTCCTTGTTTATATATTTATTTAGTTTGTTTATCCATGTCGGAATGATATTGTTCATACTTTCCAGTTGTTCATGTTGTTTATTAAGTATTATTTATTGGCTACTATTTAACTGCTAAGTAATTTTAAATAAAAGCTAAGTAAAAAAATTAATTTTTGCTAAATTTTTTATTTAAATTATAAGTAAAAGAGTTTGATTTTCTAAGTTTTTTCTCGCCCAAAGGTATATCCTTTGTTGATGAAGATGGTTTGCAAAACTCCAATCTAATAGCCATGTCAATAATATGTTTGCAAATATATTCTTTAAAAAAGCTTGGACAACTGCAAAGGTCACTTTTCCATTCCGTTGAATTGTCTGATAAAGTTACTCTTCATATTCTAAATTGAAGATCATTAAATTGATCAAACGACGTCCATCTTTTTTTCTTTTGTATTTCTGAATTTCATTTGTTATAATATTTTGTGCCTCGCCAGCTGATATATAGTAATTAGTGAAATCTTTTCATTTCGATGATATTTGTAATATCGATTTTGATGATTTTGCAAAATGATATGCATTAGTCCATTTTTGTAATGTACATGTAATTGTTGGTTCTGTTGGATATATTATTGAATATGTTTGACTCTGATTCTGAGATTTGAACCATCTATAGAGGATATTATTTGTAATTATAAAAATCCTGATAATGGATGTTGTTCTCTCAATGTATGCTCATCTTTGATTACGTTATTTGTTGCGTCTAATGACTTATTTGTACATACTGTAAAGTTATCGTATCCTTCATACCAAGAATGGAAAGTTTTTAACCATTTCTTTTCGAAATATTGTGAAAGATCATGTTCTGTTTTGCTTCACTTCTACATACATAATGACAATGCATTTTTAAAGATTGTTTCCAATTCACACAATTGTAACTTGTCGATATATCATATAACATCTCCTGTCTTGCATCATTACTTTCAATATTTCTTAAGTTTTTATTCACCTCTTGACACATATGTGTCTAGCATATCATCATTTTATTATTGTTAAACATTTTCTTATGTGTATTACGTACAGCACCAGAATCATTAGCTGTCAGAACTTCAGACATGAATCTAGATTCAATTATTTTCTCAACACCATCAGAAATGCTTTTGAAAATAAACTTTTCAAAAATAATCTTCTTATTTCAGATAGTCGTACATTGCCTTTCTTCGAAATTACTTAGTAATTATAATGATTACTTAGCGATTTAATTTTTTTGGTATAATTTCGATTGATTAACTTAGCGATTATTTATCAAACTTAGCAATACTTAGTATTCAATTTTTTTACTGAACAAATTGACATTTTACTTAGCAAAAGGCAACTTAGCATTTTAATATTTTTTCTTAGCAAATAATTTGTAGCCTTATTTATTTAGTAGTTCTTCTTTTTTCTAGCTGTTCACACTCAAAAATAAGTTTTTTTTCTGAATTCTTAGTTGCCTACAACAGTAAACCAATAAATAGTTTACTTCATAATATTATTTCGATATGTCTGAATTTCTTATCTAATTGTTTGATTAGTCTTCTCTATCCAGTTGATTTTCATCACACTATCTCTATGTAAAAAAATTAGTGCACAAATCACGACAAATAGGTCACATCTACGAAGACCAATGATAGATGTTCATCTACTTTTTCTACTCCTATTTGAACTTTTGTCCAGTAAATTTATACGTAGACAAAAATCAACAAACATCTTTCTCGAGTGCTCTCAACAATGCATTTGAAATAAGTTAATATTTATATTTCAATATTGATAGATGTAAAAATATTTTTAAAGCTTTCAAACGAACGTATACAATATGTTATAATATTACATCAATAAGCAATAAAAATAAAGCTAATATAGTATTCAATGAGTTCTTAATTAACTTGTTTAAATTCGACACGTTTATCTATTGGCCATTCAACAATATATTCAAGAGGTAAACGACATTCACCTTTTGCTGATAAAATACATTTCCATTCCAAGTTATTCGAATCATTCATTGTTACTGTATAATTTAAACCTTGTTCTTTCGATCGTAAATCAGGTATTATTAATTTAACTTTAATCTTTTCATCAGATGATAATGGAACTTGTTCATAAACATAAACTGTAATTTCACTTGATTTTGTATTAGTAAGATGTGTTTCATAACGAATATTTTCATGATGTACTTTTGAAATAAGACCTTGAGTATCAGTGAGTTTTCTTGCTGGTTTGTATTCTACTTTGACACTTGCATCTGTACCTAATGGCAGATCAAATGTGTCACCTACACATACATTATCGATTGCACTATGAGTAATAAAATTATTATCCATAAATACTGATGCAGGTCCAATTAGAAGTTGTTTATCGGATGTATTTACTGTTGATGCTTTAAGATAAGCATGAAGTGATAATTTTGGTACAACTGTATAAGTAAATGTTGAAGTTAGATCAAGTATACCAATAGTTACTTTATGTGGTTTACCCTTTGTTGAAGAAAGATTTTTAAAAGAAAACATGAGAAAATAAACAAAAAGAAAAAATGAAACTAAACTTACATCAGCATCTATAATTGCTCGTCGAGGAATAGCAAAACTTGTACTTGACATACTTGCTTCAGTTTGAGCAGCTAAAACATTGACCACATCTAATGATTGTTGTTCATTTCCTTCCACGACTGCAGAAGAATTAAGAGATGCTCGTGCACGCATCTTTACAAATCGACTTGACTTTCTTGCAAAATCTACAGGGGATCCTAAAGACAAGCCTGATAATCTCAGATTTGACAGTCGGTCATAGTCATAAGAAGATACTTCATAACCTATTTTGAGTGTTGCAAGTTTTGGTGAAACACCTCCAAGCGATGGTGCTGCTGTCGATAACGATAGCTGCACATCAGGCCAATTCTCCTGACTTTTGTTTACCTAAAGATAATATACAAACATTTATTTTGTTAAAATGCCAATTCTCATTGACTTACAATAATACCATAATAAGTAAGTTGAGTTTTTTGTCGTGTTGCTTCTGCACTAGTAACACGAACATCATAACTAGCACTCCATGAACAATTGCTAATTAAATATGATATTTCCAATGCAACATCAATATCATTACTTCCTATATAAACACTTATTGTTACTTCTCGTTTTGTTTTTCGACGATTAGCTTGTGCTTCTGCACCATGTTCATATATTTTAGTTTTTAATCCATCTTTTTGTTGTGTTAGTTTTTTTATTTCATTTTCTTCATGTATTGTTTCATTATCTAGTTTTAATAAACTTTTATGATAAAAATCCAAAAATTGTTGCATTAAATCAAGATCATTTATATTTAACTGTTCTTCTTGATTCATTAATTTTGATGCTCGTCCATCAAGCCATGTACGTTGTTTACCAAGTCTTGTTAATTCTCGTTGGTGTTTATCAATATTAGCTTGAACATTATCAAGTTCATTTTGTAATTGATCTAATGGTGTTAAATTTGCTTCTTCTGTTGTAGTTTCATAACGTGTTTGATAAGAAACTTCAAGAATAGTACAAGCTTTACCTGTTCCACCACTTACATGTAATGATGTTAAGTCAACCGATGGTGAAAAACCTTCGAATATAAGATCATAAGTACCTTGATTATTAAAATTATGTTTTATAAGACGTGTCACTTCAGCACGATCATTGTAAACAGTAACATACTGAATAGGACATTGTTGATCAATGTTAAAATTAACGATGGATGTTTTAGAATTAGTAGTAGCTTCTGTGGTTGTAGAAGATTTGCTCGTCAATGTTGTTATTGTTTGCGTCTCCATGATAATGAAGAATAACAAGCTCGATCTATTCTAATGGCTTATATAAATATATATATATATTTGTTGCTCAAATACGTCGCAATGCGTTTTCCGTTCTTAGTCCATCAGCGTGGAAAAGTGTGCCAATAGCTGACGATCATATAGTGAATCACTGAATTTGACGTGTAAAACAACAGATCTTTTCTTTTTCTTTTATGAGAGTGAATCATTCACATTAGAAAAAACGTCGTTGTTTTTCTGCTTGTGTTCTGTTGTTTTTATCGTTGACACTGAACCTATGAAGCGGAAATGTTGTTAAAAGAAGCATGACACAGAGAGAATAAATTATACTAAAAAATACAGGAAAGTTTTTCCGTAGACGTTTATCATGATAACAAAATAATATTTTATTGAAAAAAAAACAAATACTGGTTATTTGAACACGTAAATTTAGAATTTTATTGAGATTGAAATAGTGTTTTGTAATTTTTCAATAAGAATATCATGAATGTATAAATAAAAAAAAACTTGTTTGTTGTTAATACGATTTAATTGTAATTTTAAATTTACATGATAACAGAAATGTATTTAGATTTTTATTCTGTGTCAACAATAACAAGTTGACTATATTTAGTGTACTTAATATTATACATATATTTTTTCTGTGAAATAAGGACACTGAAAGATTGGTGAATTTTTTTTTCTTAAAAGTATTTATTCACACACAACGGATGATTGATATGGGTGGTTTTTAAAGATAAGAGTGCATTATACCACATATATGTTTTATAATTATAATATTAGAGCATAATAAATGTTTGTAAGCACTACCATGAAATTGAAAGTTCTATTAATTGTTTAAATAGTATAATGGATCTACCATCAAACTGTCCCTAGTCGACAATGAAGATAGACTGGTCCATCTTAATTGTTTCCAAATTCGACTTTGATTAATCTTTCAATTGGAATCAATGAGGATAATAATTTGTGAGATCTTAATTCCACTTATATTGTATTTGTATAACTGTTTCTCTCTTCCAATGCAATTCAATCATGCTCTACGCAATAACGAAACGCTATATATAATTCCTAATAGTAAATCCCATAAACGATGAACAAAGGAAGGAAACATTTATAGAACAACATGATGGAAAGAAGAATAGAACCGAAGGGATAATTCCAACATATATCAAGGGAAAGGAAAAGTTCGTAGCGCATCACTAAACAATAAGAGAAAAGAAGAAGAAGAACATAAGTGCATATGTATATTTCTATCGATAAAGAGGAGAAAATCCTTATGACTGCATGTGAAGAAGATGCAGGTCATAGTATCATTAAAATTAATATATACAATATATCGTCTCTCATGAGATGACTATCGTCAATTCAAATTCACTATAATGCAAACATTGATCTAATCATTATATTGTCTATTTGTATTATGACTTGTTAAATCAATCAGGGACCAATTTTGAAGACACTGTATATTGATAGTATAATACGCACCATCGTTATTGTTAAATTTTAAATCAAATTTTTTGATAACACACTAATTAATTTTTCATTTCTATAGATGTTGCTGTACATACTAATATTATTAAAGTGGAAATGGAATAAACGTCAAACTTTATCAAATGAAAAAACAAAAATGATGAGAAAATCAACTTAGACTAAAGAAAATATGTAAAGACCATATCCACATTATGCTAAAATTAAGAAATCTGCTTGGTATTGCTTACGAGCTCTAAAATGGCTCTACGAAACAAGAAAACCTTTGATCTCCATTTGTGAACTTTTGTCGAAATTAATTAATTCACCTTGTTTATAAAACATCATTTCGATGTAATGCATACTTATTTACAGTTTTGAGTACTTTGTCTAGCTCTTGACTTTTCTATTATTCATCAACGGAATATCGTCTTGGTCGAAAAGCAATTTGAAAATTCCTTCATCAGAAGCAATAAGCTACGAGTTCAAACTGCTTTCATGGTATTTATAACTCATGAGGATCTACATCTTACACATAGTCTTGACTTCAAAGTGATTGATCAGTTAATGAACTTTCCTTGTTAGCCGAAATTAAACATAGATCGAATATAGAAAATATCAATATTTTATTGAAATTTTTTTATATTGCGAAAAGAAAGACATTTCTATTTTCCAAACTCTTTTTCTAAATCTGGCCACAATTTATACGCTTTTCGATAACATTTACTAGCTTCATCATAATTTGATTGATCTTCAAATTGTTCAGCTTGAGCAAGTAATTCTCGTGCTTCGTGTTCTTGTTTAGACATTGGTTCAATTAATATTCTTTTGTATATCACATCACTATTAATAATAAATATTAAAAAATTTCAATTCATAACAAAAAAAAAAAAACCCTCAATAATTTAATATCCTACCTGCGCATGATATACTTTTTGCCAGTTAAAACTGCTTCACCTTCATGAAACATGTCATGTTGAAAAATTAAAACCATTCCTAAAATAATATTATTTTAAATGAAAAATAGTTTCATTCATAAAATATATTATATTATATAATACCAGTTTCAGGTTTTAATGCATAAGTAATTGGATGTGATTTAATACTATCATCAAGAAAATTAGTATTACCACCAGTAAATGAATCATTAAGATATGCCATGATTGTCATTTGACTTTGTTCCATATAAGAACGTTTAAATATTCCATCAAAATGAGGAGCAAAATATTGACCTGGTTCATATCTAAATTACAATCAGTGTATTTTATTCTTTTTTGTTTTTGTTAAACTTTATTTTCATACCGGCATATTCTTATACGTTCATTTAGATTCATTAATTCCCAATGTGAAGTATTTTTTTCACCAGGCCATTGTTTTGGTAGAAAATCTTCATTTATAAAATAATATAGCTATAGAAATATAAATAATAATTTACAAAGTATTACCTTCTACACGAAGAAAAAATTCATTTGCAAGACTTTGTTGTGTTATTTGAGTTCTAAAACAAAGTCGAGATAAAATTCTTGTTAGTTTAGATAACAAAACAGATGTCTACCTTGTATTTGTTCGATAATTTTCTCCATACAAAAGTTTATTAAAACCTATTTGATTTATTTAAAAATAGAAAAACCAAAAATTGATTGATATATCTATTTAAAAAAAAAAACAATATATTTACCCATATTTTCTATTGAATTAATAAGAAATTGACATTCATCTGGTGAAAATACATTGTAAAGAACAAAACACACAAGATTTTTTTCTGGGAAAAGATCAACCTAACAATCGCATATGACATAGATTTTTTATAAAATAAATTAAATTATTTACTTTATGTAAACGTTGTTTAGCATTTTCGTTTTCTGCATGAAATTTCATTAAGAAATCGTGCCATTCAACTTCCAAATCTTGGATAGAACCTTCATCACCCATTTTGTTATTTTCAAATAGAATGTATACGAGATTTTTATATTCCTTTACACATACATTGCGCAATTACAATAAACATGTGTCATAAACATATGAGAATAGAAAAAAATAAAACGAAACGAATGTTCTTGCGAAATTACTTCCTTGACGAGCGATGAGACATACATGTCAAACTACTCATCAATAGGATAATTCATCTTTTTGCACTTTACAAAAATGTCTAAATGTATTATGCTCCTATTGATCGCTATGAATATCGACAGAACTTACGATTTAATCTTTTCAGATGTTAAATCGCTTGTCAATACAGACGATATTTGTGTAATGAGTGCTAGTGAAGAATAGAAAAGCCTAGAATCATTTTATTATCCGAGTCTTTGTTCTTTAGATACCAAAATTTTATCGGGTTTTTTAAACAAAAATTTGTGATTCTCCTGTAATCTACTTCAAACATTCTACGAATAAAACACTCAACGAGATAAGTTTAGTGAGCAAAATTGTAACTTTTCCACTTTCCCATATACTGAGATATTGAATATTCAATCCACTAATCTCATTCAGAACTTTGTTCTGGCAAAGTTTGAAGTCGAAACCCTATATTTTCCATCCTTTGAGGGTAATCATAAGTTTTTGTTGAAAATATAGTAAAATATCAATACATCAAGAATGCAGATCCAGAAAATCAAACCATTCTAGACGTTTCTATTATTTACTAGTACTCATAAAACAAACATCATCTCAATCAGAAAGTGATTTGACATCTAGAGAGAGGTTCATTTGTTAGCCATATAAAACTCGTACTTCAAAAGATTTTTATAAGCAACTATGACTGAAATATACTTTCAAGAATTCGTTTACAGATAACACTAAAAAAAAGTCATCTTATTCTGCAAAGTAGACTAATGTGAAGTTAAACACAAAGGATTAGAAAATGAGTATGAATACGAAAATATCCTGACTCTGAGTTCTCTATCCGAGTACTTATAATCTATTGTCATAACGATCGATATTGTCAATCATGTAAGCTTATTTTATAAGTTTATCAAAGGGAACATCGTAGACTTCAAAACTTCGTAGGATATCGAAACACTTGATGGTACTAAAAAACTAAAGTCACTACTATTTCTCCCACAGAGTTTATAATACATGATAGTTGTCCATTCATATCAAACATTTAGATGAAAAAAAAAACTAAACCTCTAATCAGTAACAATGTTATTTTTATATCAAAAATTAATCTTCCTCTCTACCTATGTCTAATTTTTATACAGAAACCATGAAAAAAACTAAACTAAAACAGCTTATGATCGAAGACTTTTCTCGTTAGTTTCATCTTTCGCGATACATTTAATCTTATCTTTCAAAAATCAACAAACTATTTTCATATAGAATAAATCATATCTTTTTATTCAAAATAGAAAAAAAAATATACATATATATTTAACAACATCAAAAAATGCATAATCGTCTTTTATTTACAGAATATATGGATAAAAAAAAATAATATTGTTTTTTTTCTTCAGTCCATTTATCAATCAACTAAGACCCATAAGACAATCAGTTGGTATAAAACCTTCTTGACTTTTTTCATTGCGTACCCAAACCCAATGTGGATGTGAACAACGAAGTACTTGTACTAGTTCATTTTTTCGTACCATTAAATCATCACGAAATATCGCCGAATATGTTTTTGTAATCGTATACCATCGATCGACTAATGTTGATGTCAATGGTCCCATCTGTTCATCTTCATCATCAGCAACAATAGTCTGATCATTATCATGAATGATACGTCGACTACTTTCAGCTAAAGGTATTTGTGTCGATGGTGATTCATCAATATCATGATCATCAATTTCATCGAGAAAATATTCCCAACGATGGTTAGATAATAAATTATGTGATACGTAATTAATGATTGATGGATCACACCTTAAATGAAATGATTGTGGTATTGCTGTTGTACGATTAAGTAATGATGTTGACAACGATGAAGAAGATAGTAATGAACAGTGTGAAAAGTCACTTAATGTTGACACACCAGAATCTAACGAATCAGCACTGATAGATGAGATGGTATCATCTGATTTGATCTTTTAGAATAAAAAGACATGTTTTAACACTTTTTTTTTCTTGCTTTTTCAATTACTACTTACATTTGTTAGTGTTTCAAATATCGGCTCCGATAATTTATCAACATCGTTATTCATCATAGAATAATATGTTTCATTATGAGAAGAAATACCACCACAAAATTGGGGTGTTTCTAAAAAAGAAATAAAATTTCAATTAAAAAAAAAAACATTATTTTCCAATGTTTTCTCAATAACAAATCGTTTTCTTCATTACATAAGCCATTCAAGTAGTCATTATAAGCAGTCAGACAAAGTGTTTTCTTTTACTTTTTTTTATCTTTCCTACTTAAGATATGGACGTTCTGTTCAATGTTCGCACTATGACTATGTAAAAACCTTATCAAGTGTATGCTCCTTCTAACTGAAACTTTGTAATGTTAGTAGTGATTTATAACGCATAGTATTGACAACGTTTCAGTTATGTTATGCTCTTAGTCAAGAACTTAATAAAACGTTCATAACTTAGTAAGTGAAAACTGAAAAACCAAACTAAAAAAAAGGCTTTTATAATATTCATCATTACAAAGTCGAATTGCTAGTGTTAAACATCAACCGATTGGACACTTGCAAATGTTTCCGCGTTATATGATAAAAAAAAATCTCTTTCAAGTACCTGTTGTGTTATTCGAACTCACTGGAGATTTTTTCGATCTCATGTCGTTTAGAGAAGAAATTTTAGACAATTATTACTGATCTATGAAAACAAACCATTACTTTCTTTTTCAATATTTCATATATCTCAATAGTCACATAATCAGAAGATCCTAGCTGGTATAGCTCTCCCACAATATTGAGAGAAACGCGTGAAACTATCAATAATGACATTTTTTGCGTGGATAGGGTAATGTCCAGCATAACCTACTCTTGCTTACGCCACTAACTCTCAGATTCCATCATATTGATGATTTTGATCTAAACGATGGTCGGAAATTTTTTAGACAAGATATTTGTTTCTTTTTGACTTGTTAGAAAATATTTCTAATAAGTAAAAGAAAAGTTATGATTTCTTACTCGTTTTGAATATAGTTTTAGAAACAATGTCTCAGTTTTATTTGAGAGTATTGAAATAATCTTCGAAACATTCAAAAAATTTCGTTTGAAGCCAACTTGTAGTGCAATATTTACGGTGAACATATTTATTCATTTCGAACTGCTTCAAATTATTTCAATATAAATCACACTCAAATATTCTGCTTTTTTATTGAGAGAACTGAAAAATTATTTTTTTTGGCAAGCTAGTAAGTTCTCATTTAATCTACAAATTTCTATTCAAACTAATTTTTTTTCAATTTTTCAAATTATCATTTCACTACTCTCAAAGAAAAATTTAGACGAAATCTCGAAGTCTATCTTCGAATAGGGTACAAAATTATAGCTTAAGACTGGTTGAAAATATGCAAACAGTTTCTACAAAAAACTTTGCATTCGCTAGTATTTAAAGTATACTGTACTTACTTTTAAATGTTTTACATAAAATATTTTTCATATGATGTAAACGTGCAAAAACTTTTGCAGTTGTTTCTTCCATCTTATTTCGATTTGTATATTCAATAATTTCACTAGTATACATCTAAGTGAGTATCTCTTATGTTATTTTGAATGATAGATATGATCACAATTATTCAGTTATTTCACACATTGATCTAATTAATCTATTTGAATAATTCACTTTCGATTTTTTTTTTTTTTTTTTTCATTCCTAACAATTGTCTATTGGTTGTTTTATTCACTTGATCCTATTTCACTTTTCTCTATTAGAATAAATTAATCGCCTAATCGACTCATCTCATGTTGAGAAGGAAGTAGACGAGCTGTTGTATATGCATAACATCAATCGTCATTCAATCATTCATTTGTTCAACTCACACATTCGTTTATATAATAATTATTCTTTCGTTTTGATCTCGTTTCAGACATATAGGAAGCATTAAATATACAAAAGAGCAAAAAATAGAAATAAAAAAAAAGAATTTTTTTTTTTATTTTATTTAAGCTGTTGAAATTCGATCTGTTTTAAATAAATCTTCATTCCATTCAAGTTGTTCAGTCCATGCATAAAGAGCATCGACTTCTCCATCATTAAATTCATCTTTTGCAATAGGTGTATTATCTGGTCGATGACGTTGTTCATCATCATCATCACTTGTATTTGGTGCAATTTGTTGTTCATATTGAAGTATAAGTGTTGTTGGTAATGATTCAGATCGTGTCATTATATAAGCTTGACGCATTTTTGATGCATTTTCTATTGCACGACGAGAACGACGTGCTGTTGATAATGGTTTTTTGGGATATGTAGTCGATGTACGACTTGTTCGTGATGTTGCTGATGATCTAATAGAATTTTTTCGAAAGATAAAAAGAAAATAACTATTGGCATATTTTTTTTAATAAATTTGTTTACTTTATCTGTTTGAGTAATTCAATATGTTGTAATTGTACTGATTGAGCATTTGGTTGAGTAAGTAGCATAGGTATTCTATCACGTAAATCAGGCGATATATGACCTGATTCTATATAACTAATAATATCATAAAAGACCGAATGTCGTGGAATATCTATTGAGAAGAAATAAAAGTATAAATATTTCGAAACTAACTTTTGAATTGAAATGAAAAAGTTCTAAATAAGAAAGATGCTTGGACAAGTGGATAACTTTTCTAGTATTTCTTAGACTTAATTATTCAATATTCGAAATTTGCTCATCTATAATAAATAAACTTTGTTTATAGATTTACATGTATAAAAGGTACTTGTTATGTCTTAGTTCAATTTTCATTCTCTTTCTCTATTTAATAAAATATACTACTTCACATTTTAAAATTAACCTAGATAAATTTATAACAAAAAATACAATAAATAACCTTCAAGATTCAATCGTCGCCAATTATTTGCTCGTCCACCAAGATATGATGGTAATTCATCCAATAAACTTGAATACTAAAGTTTTGTTAAGAATGAAGAAAAAAGCAAAAGAAAAAAAAAAATATTAAAATTGTTTTCTCACTTGCATATAATCTTTTAATGTAACAACATCAATTTCATCTGATGCTCGTCCATCAGCACCTTGTAATGAATCAGACAGCATTTGTTGATAGAATACTCTTTGTCCCATTTGTTTACATGCAGCTATACGAGCCTATTCTACATACAATAGTAAAGAAATGTTTTGATCTATATTAATAATTATTACATACGTTCATATCAGCATTAATCATACTTTTACCATTCACATATTTTGGAAAAGCACCATTAAAATTACGTACATATATTTTAAAATAAATCACCGGTGGAAATTCTATACCGCCAAAACTAAAAAATAAAATTGTAGTTCCATATATGATTTTTGTATGTTGAAAATGAATTATTTTATTTGCTATATATATTGATTTTAATTGAGTAAACATTAAAAGAAAATTTACGACTATATATATTTACCGAAATTTAACTTTAGCACTTATACTTCGATCACGTAAAAGTTCAGCTTCACGAGGTGATAATCGGCGAAGAATATCATTTGATAGAGCATGTTCAGCAGCACATACAGCATGTTTTAATAATCGAAACATTTGTCTATCACGATGTCGACACCAAGCTTTTTCAATAATTTGAACAGCTTTCTTAGCATGAACTGAATCATATGAGAATCTGAATATTTAGAATAAAATTATTCAATGTAAAATATTAAATTCCTACTCTACCTTGTTTTATGTCCTTGTGACATTGGTCTTTTGTTAAAAACAAGAAAGAGAAAAATTTATCTAAAACAAAAAAAAAAAGAAAAAAATACAAAAAAAAGAATAATTTATTATTTCTGTATTTGAGATGTATCATCTAATGTTCCTGTTGCATATTCTTTATCAACAAATTCTTTAAGTTTTGTTTTTAATTCAATTCCAAGTAAATTTTCAAATGATTTAGCATCTAATGTAGCTAAACGACATTCTTCAATTGCTGTAACTGTTGCATAACGTGGTTTATTTTCAAGTAATGCTAATTCACCAAAACATTTTCCTGCTCCAAGTATTTTAAGTTCACGTATTGTTTCATCTTTTTCTTTTCGTGTAACTTTAACTGAACCATCTTCAATAAAAAACATTTCATATGCATCTGTATCACCTTGTTCTATAACAATTTGATTAGCTGTATAATAACGTGGTCGAAGTGCATCAGCTAAATCTTCTAAACGATTTTCACTTAACCAACCACGAGAATAAAATGTTTGAATAAAATTAACTGTATGAAGAAATTTTAAATATTTTTCACGTTGTTTTATAGCAAATGAAACAGTTAATGTTGAAAATGTATCTCGATCAATTAACCATAATTTTCCATCAGTTCTTGCTATAACAGTAGCTGTACGTGGTTGACTAAAATCGATTAGAAAAAACATTCAAACAAAATTATTCATTAGTGACGTGACTTTGCAAAATTAAAACACGTATATCTCAAGAGATAATGAACTTTACTAGAGCTAATTGTGATGATTTTACTGATAATATGATTAACTCTGATTGATGTTTCAAAAAAAGTCTAATACGTAATTTTCATTAAAGGAGATATTCGATTGTCGGCTGAAAGTGTATAACTTTTTAGCTTTCCATCCAGGCTGAAATAACCAAATTCAGTCAAAAAATTTCATTTTATATTTTCCTCATGTTTCAAAAGAAATAGAATAGAATGGCTATGCGAAGAAATGTACGTACCTGTAAAGTAAAGCAATTTCACCGAAACATCCCTAAAATATTTAATTGAATATATATTATATATGAAAAAAATATTGAATTAATTACTTTATTTTCAAGTTCTGATACTTTTTTTCCATTAACAATAACATCGTATTTGCCTGATTCAATACAATAAAAATAATCACCTTCATCTCCTTGTCGAATAATTTCTTCTCCTTGAAAAACATTTTTTGGTGCAAGATATTTAACAAATTGTTTAACAAGTGATGGATCATCACCAACATAAATTACTGTATCTTGTACAATTTTACATAGTCTTTCAAAAACATCAGGATTTTTCATAACTATTTTATCAGTTAAATCACGATCGGGATCCTTAAAAAATATATTCATCAAGAAAAAAATTTTTAATAAAATCTATAATATTATGTTTACCATACCGGTGAACCACCCCAAACAGATTTTCGTCGTTGTTTTTCTTTATTAATACTATCATCACTTTTTTGAGATACTATATCATTAGTATCTTGACTCAAAAATATACCTGTTTGTTCTCTATTATCATCAATAGTTGATACATATGGTTGAGTATTTTGTCTTTCAGAAAAATATTGTACAGCATATGAAGGTAATTGATCGGATGGTATTCGATCACGTAAAACATTAACAACAAAGTCGGTTAATAATGGTTTAAGAGCTACTGGAAATTGAATTGTTTGTTCGTTATTCGACATGTGTATAATACATGAACAAATTAATTCAATTTATCCACTCGATATACGATATATTTATATGTACATTTTTAGTAGATGAAAAAAAAAAAATCTATATAGTCGAAGCGCGCCATTTGATGTAGAATAATAATCGTTCTTTTACATAAAAAAGATGTTTCTGTCAAAGCAAAAAACAAATGAAAAAACGAAGATAAAATAGAAGTAAATCCGAGGTAAATACCTGAATTATTGCCAGATTTTGAATAATGCGAACTGCAAGTAATGATATAATCAGAGTTTCGATTGTGGCCGGATTAAAATGAGCAGACTCTTTCGTCAGAGGAAGAAGTTTAGATGGCTGGAAATCTATCTACTGGAGAGACTTGTGCCAACATATGTGCTCTAGACTTTTATCGATTTGATTGTGAATTGAGAATGGATTTAAAAATTTTCCTATCGACTGCATTGATGAATGTAAGCTATGGTATATGGAGATTCTAATAATATTAACATGAATTTTTCAGTAATCAGAAACCTCAAAAAAAGAAATTCATAGTATAGTCAAATACTAATAGGAACTCAAATAGTTTTAGAGTTTTTATTAGAACACTATATAGTATCTATCAATTATACTAGTATCAAAGTTTGTTTCGTAAAGCAAAATAAATATCCTTGATACTACAGAAGAACAAGAACTCTACATGATATTTCAAAGTTGTATGTTCTTGTTAGCATAATAAATTTTGCAAAAAGTTTATTTCTTGAATTAACAGTCAAAGTTTGTTGTTGAAGTCATTTTCTATCTTAAGAATTCTATTAAATATCAGCTTTCCAGGTCAATTTTATTGATATATAATAAACTAATTGTTTCAATAATCCGCTTTTTGAAATAGCATTGCAATCTAGAAAAAAAAATCAAAGAATTTTCAAGATGAGAAGTCAATTATATTATAAATGAGACAATCTGGTGATGAACATAGCACATATATTATATTGAGAATTTAGAAATTTTCATTTTCATCAATAAATTTGAAGAAATAAAGGCCAGAGGCTATTCACCTTTGATCTAAATAATATAGAATTTCAAACAGCATTAAAAATACAACAAAAAAAAGGTACATTGAAATTCATTCAAGATTTTCTTCTTCTTCTTTCTTTCTTTTCCTTTATTGCTACCATTTACTTCTTCTCTATCAAATGGTTTCTTGACAGTGAACAAACAGTTTTTAACATTTTTATGAGCGACAACTATAAAAGAATTTTTGCTATGCAAATCATCATGTTTAATTAATTAAATTTAAATACAAAACAAAAAAACAAAAAAGAAAAATTAGAAAAACACATGTCTCATTAAAAAAATGAAAACCATCTTTTATTTTTCGATGGTACTGTTGTTGTTTCTTGTTGAGGAAAATAAAGTTTCATTGAATTACTTGTTGTCATTGTTTTTATATCCGTACGTGCTGATAATGGTTGATAATAAGTTGAAAAATGTTTTCGATTTTTTCCTAAACATTCTTTTGATATTGCTGAAAAAAATTCTCGTGAAGCCATTAATGGTCGTCGATTAAAATACCATTGACAATCAAAACAATGACGTTTTGATAATTGTGGTGATGTATGAATTTTTAAATATAAATGACTTGGACTTATACTTTTCTGTGAACTATTTGAACTATTATTGCCTGTAATAGAAGCATTATACCAAACATATTGCTCTTGACTATATGATTGACAACGTATTCGAATATAACAGCAACATATAGCCCTAAATAAACGTTTTATTATTCGACCACATGATTGAAACATAAGATATAATTCATTACGAAAATGTTTTCCACATAAACAATGTAAAATAATATTTGAAAGTGAATTAAACATATCAAACATAATTAATAAATTAATATTTTGTTTTAAAAAATTTGGACAATCATCATCAGCTAATAAATTTCTTTTACAATAAACAAGTGAAAGTAATATATCACTAAACCATGAATTAATTATAGCAAATAAACATTCAATTGTAATAACAAGTAATACACGACGTGTATCATCTGTTCGACGACGACATGGTAATATATAATTTGATGTTGAACGTCTTAATTCACGTACTCGATATACGGATAGAATATTACTTATTATTGTTATAAATGATGGTAGAACACTACCGATTACTTAAATGAAATGAGAAGAAAAAAAAACAGAATAATTAAAATAGAATTGTTATTTTCTTTGCTATTTATGAAATAATTTATTTATTGCAGAAATAAAAAAAAATTGTTCAGCTTATTATCCAATAATGAAAATTTCAAAAAAATAAATTAATAATTGAAAAATTTGAAGTTATTATGAACGAAAGAAAAATCGATCATTATGTGGAACTCTTGATTTTTTTTTCTTTGTACTAAATAAATGATTAAATGAAGTTTTAATTGTTTAAACAAGAAGATATCATCTACGAACTGTATTAAAATTTATATCGATACATATAATGTTAAGATTTATTGTTCTATTTCAAACAATTCTTCATGAGAAAGATTGTCTTATTGCCCTAAGAAATATGTTTCCTTCAATTAATTTTGATCTCTATGAATAATAAAATTATTTTTTATTTCATTTAAATTTTATTCAGATTATTATTCCTTTTATATATAAACGATATTGTCAGCATTTATAAATAATCTAATTTTGGTATGCTAGACAATTGATATGTGTTCTGACTAAGTAAAAGAGTTGTACTTGATCATTTCTAGTACTTAAATTAGAGCCCTGCGAGACGACAATCAAGATTAGAACACTTTGAAAAATTACGAAATGAGATGAATGAAACTTGAAACAATATTAGACAAATAATAACGTTCCGGAACCGAGAAGCTCCACATAACAAGCACTTGTTATATTTTTTTCCAAAAAACAATTCTCAATATTTATATAAATAACAGAAAATATCCCGCAATCTTTTTCAAGTGATTTATTATCCTTATTTTCAACAGTTACTCCATTTTCTTTGTAGTTTTCGTACAGCATCGTATTTAATTAACGTAATTTCCGTGTTAATTACTGTCTGACTGAGACCTAGAGCATGTTAAAATTAGATTTATATCTCGAAGTAATCATTTTTTTTCACGTTTCACTGCAGTGACCATATGCAGTTAACATTAGAAATGGGTGGGAATGATTGTTGTGGCTAGGACAAATCAAATTTTTTCTAATAAAATCCAAGATCAATTTTTAGTTTTACTGCGGAAGTAGGTAACTTCTCCATGATTGAAGAAGTAGAGCTATCGCTGGCACATAATCAATATACTGTTGACAACATATATTAGACAAGAGCTAATATGCCTAATATTCATTGACATTTACACAACTATTTTTGTTGCTAGTATAGAAAAGACATTTGCGTTTTTGACAAATAATATCTTTTTATTTATCTAGGTCAATAAGGTAAACAAGACTTTATGATACATTTCAGTGAAAAATTCAGAACAGAATATTTCATATCGACATGGTAGAAATTTGAAACAAAAACGTCTGACCAGATTTGCACTGAAAGAAAAACAAAATCCTAGAAGATTAATTTCATTTATTTTCTTAATGAAACTGGATTAGGGAAAAAGATCAAAGTAGCTTGAAAAGTCAGTAGGTACTTGATATTAATTTATATAATGGGAAACGATAGAACAAGAATAGTTGATCGTCTTTATCCTATCTTTTATTGCTCATCTTTGATAATTAATATTTATGTCGGTATAAAAGAAGATCCTCTGAAAGTTTGATTTTTGTTTAATTTTCATCATTCAATGAGCTTAGTAACGTAAAAATTACAGAAAAGAAGCTCATTTTCATTTATTTAGGGTCTTAATTGAAGATAATTCGATACTTTTTTATTATCTATTCATTTCAAGTTCAACAAAATATGCTTGACATTTGAACTCATTAATTATTTCATGCAAGCATTATATAAACATACTTTTAGTTTGTTTTGCTATTGCATTCTTATTTGTTTACACATCACTAATTCAAGTTTATAGATTATTATTCGGCATACTAATGCATTTTTATATAAAAAATGTACTCGCAGCACAAGATTTAAGTATGTTTCATTGTACCGGAAAATGCTCCTGATCTGTTTGAACTTGAAAATATTACTAATTAGGAATTCAGAATGAGTTCCATGAACAGCTTCAATTCTTATATGAAATAGCATTAGAAAATACAATGTAGATGAGTATCTTATCATGATCATATTAACGAGCGTTAAGATAAATAAAACAAAAAAAGAAATCGTACTAGGATCGAATCGACGTATTTTAATTATATTTTTTCTTTTTCTCGGAAAGACCTATGTATATAATATATATAAATACTGTTGAACTCGGTGAATCAAGTTCTCTATTATGTAGCACATAATAAATGTTGACTATTCGTTCATAATTTATAGCACGCATAGTTTGCTCTAAAATTCTAAAAAATGAGCATTCTTTTCACGCTTAATTTGGTTTACGTCTGTCAATTAAGTTGACTGACTCAGTTCCATTTCTTTCTCTTTTTCTTCTAAATCCCTATTCATACATGAATGTTCATGATGAATTAAATCAAAAAAAAACCATTGTTATTGCTTCTATAAGCAAGAAAATAGCTAATAGTTCACAAATAGAGTTTTCTATTACAAACTATCAATTTTCAAGTCGTAAGCTTTTAGATTTATAAAATTTCTTGAGAATCGTCAAATAAAAGAATAAACATTTCTAAATAGATTCTATGTACTATCAATATCTAGGTCAAACAGAAATAGGCAATTTTTTTATTTGTTCATTTGGGTTTCAATATACACAAGAGAGAGAAAAAAATTAATTCATTGTTGAATTCCCTTTTGCATCGAATTGCGCCTCATATCTAATAATAGTTCTGATTCTATACTTCGTTATTAAGCATACCTTAGAATTCAATTTAAAGTTTGAACTGTATCAGACTTGTTTTTTTTTCATTATTTTCTGAGCTGCTCTTTAAGTATTTATTAAGAAAAATCTCTCGTTGAACTATTCAATGATTTTTCCAGGTAGCGAAATCATTCAAATCAAAATTAGATAATCTATAAAGACTTTATTGATAATACCATTCTTTAATAGATAAATAGCTAATGATGTTTTAATAATAATTTTTTCCGAAAATAAGAATTAATTATTTTCGTCTGTAGTTTTAATCCGAAAAAGATAAATTTTACAAAAACTCATTTACATAAGATTATCATGTCTTAGAATTGTTATTCTTATCTTCAAGAATGAAATTTCTATTAAAAATGTAAAGTCGAAAGTTTATAATTTCTGATTTAACTCACCTGAAAATCTTTGCTTTAGTTAAATATGAATAGGACAAATATTATCAAAAATAAAATCTATATGCAAATACGAGATTTTTATTCATTGATTTTTATTACTATTAAAAAGTAACTTTAACGTTTTGATTAATTGAAAACAATGTTTTTTTCATTTTGCTGCAAGTATACTTATTAATTTTGAATATTATTTGATCTCTTTACTGTTGATTATTTATTCAATCAACTATGAAGTTTTGGTGTCTCTTTAAATTTTAATATCATCCGTATTCACGAGACATATGAATATTGTCTTTGACTACATTTCAAAAAAAGTTAACAGAGCACGTTGAAAATATGCTCGTCATCATTAAATAAATATATCATGATTCTTATTGAATTCCTATATATGACATAAACGAATTCTTTTTCTATTACAGCTTTAGAGTTATTCGGTTTAGGGCAAATTGACACTTAGTATGAATTGTACTCCTTGGAGTTTTGATGCTGCTTTTTCTTTTCATCAATAAATAATAAACGTAAGTTATTTAGATGAATGTTTCTTTTTCTTTCAACAGAAATAGGTCATTTAGATTTAGTACAATTACAACAGATGAAAATTATTATCTAAATAACTTATATGAAATAAATCTTCTGTATCAATCAATAATACTATATCTTAATTTATTTAAAAGATTTTATCTTACCTAAAAGTAAGGTATGTCGATTAAAACCAAATGATCGACGATACATAAAATTATAATAACGATGAAAAAAATTTGGTTCTTGAGGAAATAAACATTCATGAAAATGAAATTTTCGACGAATTTCATTTCGTGTTATACGCTGACCTGTTTGATTTAATAAAATTTTTTGTATTAGATTAACAATTGATTTTTTATGTTGATCAAAATAATAAGATAATATATTTATTAATTGTTCTTCTGTACATATATCATTGTTATATATAATTGAACTTTGATTTGTTTCTTGTAAATTTTTTAAAGCATAATTAACACATTTTAACGAATCTGGTTGATCAACCATTGTACTTGTTAAAAGATATGTTGAATTTTTCATATATGTACTCATATAAATAAACCATTCATATGATAAATCACGAGTATTTGATTTTGAACAAAATAATGTTAATCCAACAAATTCAAATATATATGCAAAAAAAAATGCTAAAATTATAAATATAAATGTCCATTTATGTTTTTGTACATAACTATATGATGTTGGTATAACAAGGCGTTTTAATGAACGAGTAATATATGTTGTTCTATGTAAAGATATTATACACATTAATATTAAAGAAAATCGTATATATGTTTCTGCATGTACTAATGGAACTAATGGTTGTGGCCATGTTTGTGTTGCATATTGATATGCTCGTGCAAAAAATGTAGTTGAACATGATTCTTCTGGTTGTATATTTAGATTGAAAAGTGTTTGTGAATAATAAAATAATTTTATTAAATGAAATAATAAATAAATAGAATCAGCAAATAATAAAACAATAAAATATGGAGTTATAACACGATGACGAAATTTTTTGCGAAGAAATACCAATATACATAAACCATTGCCTGATGAACCCACTATAAATAACAATAGACCAATAAATGCACATGATATGACAAACATCTTAAATGAAAAAAAAAAAAGAAATTTTATGAATACTGATTGCAAAAGATTCTAACAAGAGTGTAGGCTTTCTTCAAAAATAAAGCGTAGGCGTGAATCTCAGTAATACAACATATCTTGTAAACATATATTTTAGTGAAACTAATTGAAAGTCACATTGAGTCTATGTAACAAAAACCAGTCACCAATTTTTTTTAATGTCAGTTTTCTCACCGATGAAAAATGAAATAAAAGTAGAAGTCAGTGTGCATCAAACATAATTTGGATTTTTTTTTTTTTTTGACGTCATTAATTGTCTCTCTCACAGGATTAGGCTTATTTTTACCAACGTAAAGAATTACTCTACATGTAAGATAAAATAAGGCTTTAAGAAAAGCAGAAAACGTAGATAAAATAAACTGTTGATAGACAACGAGATATAGTATTGACGACACGTCGAAAACAAGTTAGGAGAAAATGACTACGTACTAATATATAGATAGAAAAGAGAAAAAAATATAGAAAGAGAATAGACTATCAGAATTTCAAGAATCGTTTAACCTATATAATGACATATTTTGTTTATCGTATCGAGGGATAAGTTCAGGTATTATTTCATATAATACTTCAAAGAAAACAATAATGAAAAACCTAAGTGAACTTATTTTCTTTGAAATAAGTATACTCTTTCTATATAATTTCCTTAATAATTAGTCAGTTATTATATATATACATATATTTATTATTTACATTCTGAAAATAGATTTTGTTAATTAGAGAGTATTTTTTACATTGACTAGACATTATTTATACATATCTTTATTCTCGTTCGTTTTTCACTAATTTTACGAGAAAATCGAAGATAATAGGAAAACAAATTAATAACGAGTATATAATGCTAGTTCTACTTTTTTCTTTTTCATTATATACGAAAATTAAATATAATTTGTCAAATTACAAGATGAAAATTATAATTACATATTTCTCCAATATTCTATCTATTGTAATTAAATATGACACATTATCATGAATCATTATATTTGACCCGATGAATATATAATCACAATTAAATGTATTTCTTGGTTCAAAAAAGATGTCCAATAACATATTTGTTATTCGAGTATATGAAGAAATATAGATGATTAATAACATCTCTTTTTACATTATTAAAAAATATTTACTTCAGAAAAATTAATGTAAACCTGAAAAAAATATCTAATAGAAATCATTGTGTTTAAGATCTTAAATTTCCAGTAGATTATGAAATACCTTTAACGAACATAGATTATTTATCTAAACAAAGGAATATGCGAAAACACATAAAAATTTAATTATAATTTTTTTTTTCTGATAAAGATTAATCGATCTTTTCAAATAATATAGGATTTATTGATATAATATTGACACAATAAAAATACAATTTAAACAAAACAACAAACATAATAGACAGGAAAGAATTAAGCTGTAAAATCATCATTTTTCATGAAGAAGATTATTTTTAATTAAAAAAAAATAAACCTAGTCATAAAATAGAAAGGGAAACATTTACGACGTTCTAGGATAATGATCAAATTATAAACATTATTTTATTAAGCTAGATTATTGTCAAAAACATAAAGTAAACATACAAATACCATTATCTATATATATTATAATTTTACAGAATCAATCCGTCAAAGTTTTTGAAATGCTTCTAATGCTATCTCATTATTATTTTCAAGTGCTAGCTATATCTACGATATGGATCTAATCTTTGATAATATATCTACTCTAGTGCTAACTCTATTTTTCTCTTGAAAAATTATTATAAATGAGTGAGATTGTAACTTGGACTCTTGATTGAACTTTGCTTTTACTAGCTTGAGTAGATCGATATACTACGTATCAATAATGAAGACCGAAGGAGAATTTCTTGTTTTCTTTTCAATTTTCTAAATTAAATTATAAAAAGTTCGATTTGTAGGCTTCTGTCTGAAATGATTCAGATTTTTTGCATAATAAAGAATGTATGAATCTATAGGAAAAGAAAAGTATCTAAAGATTGAATGTCTCTTTTTCATTATTATCAAATGTCAAGGTCTTCTCGTCTTCTAATGCTCCATAGTTTAACATTTTTATATTTAGGTTTTAATTATACATCATGCAGTTTCTTATTCTTAATATTTGTTTATGTTTTCTAGACTCATGTTGCATGTCTGAGTACATGATAAACAGTAATTTCCTAGTCAAGTATAGAATTTCTTTCTGATTCCATGAAAAAAAAAATGTCAGATGGTGTTTAAAACTTAACAGTTTTATTAAATTTTAGAGCTTTAATTAACTTATATTATTATGTTTTTCAAATAAATCTTAATGTTCTATCAATAAAAGATACCCGATGTAGTTTGACATTGGTATCAAACGGTTTTGTATCATATTATCTTCGGACAACTTTTCCGTTTATTAACAAATTATATGTATCAAAGAAAACAGCTTTACGCATCATATTTATATTCATCCACGTCGTCCATCAACAAACAGTATAAAATATGTCTATCGAAAATTCGAAAATAATCTTTGAAAAATGATTGATTACATTCAAATATTATTCCCAATTAGCGATGCAAGGTTTCGTAGAACATGATATCAAAGGTGACATTTTTCTACGAGCCATTTATCAGCCCTTTTACTATGAACTTCCTTTATTTGGTAGAGCAGTTGTATGAGAGGTTAGATTTTCTGGTTGTTCTTTTAAACAAGTAGTCGTTTTATCTAAGTGTTTTTATACCAAACGTCCAGAAGAAGTAATAAAGTCGATGAATCTGAACAAACTTGGACAGGAGAAAGTCCAAAAATGCGATTGTTACCCGATGTCCTTAACTGGGTGACTCCTTGTTAAGAAGTTAATGTTTGTGGATTGTCAATATCAACCATAACCATGTTTTTTCGACCACTTGTAACTGATTTTGATTGCTGTCATTGCATTAAACAAAACGTAAGAACAAACTCGAAAAGTGCATTCAAAACTGAACATAAATGTCATGAAGAGTCACTAAGGGTCTGGTTATTCTCAATATTAGGCATGTGTTTTTGTACGAATTTCTACTCAGAATTTAGAAAATTTCTTCTAATAAGAATAACTCGATTCTTAAGTATTTTTCATGCTAGTTGTGTTGAGTTTTGAACGTTCTTTCCGAATCTATTCGTAACTTTTGTTCAATGAAACTTGATAGAAAAAAACTAAAAAATGATAATTATTTTGTATTTCATATACTTCAACTATAACTTCGGATAGAGCAAAAAAATCTAATCATTGTTGATATAAACAATTCAACGGAACTATATTATTAGTTAGAAAAAAAATTGTCAATATTTGACATCAAATGGTAGGAATCAGGTGCATATTCAAAATCTAACTTCTGTATTTTATCAATACAATTTATGTTGATTACACAAAAAGAAAAGATTATTATATTTACTTGTCAATTAATATCAGTTTTGATACGCACTATTGACTATTTGATAATAACATTAAAAGAAAAAACTTACATCATTATAAATTCATAAGTGTCTTTGAAATATTAGTTAAGTCCAAAATACTTTCTTAAAAATTTCAATTAAGTGAAAACAAAAACCATTAGCAACTCGGTCTCTAATTGACTGGAACCTTCATCAATTATTTACTTTTATTTTCAAAAAATAAAGTTTGGTAAACAGCTGTTGATGTAATTAATCTTTTTTTTTATCGATTGTTTTTTTTTCATTTTGCAAAGCGTTTACATAATGACTAATCCTATTTCAATTTGAAAGTTTTCACTTAATTGATATTAAAAAAAAACAAAAACAAAATAAGCATATCTTTTGTTCAATGAAATGTCACGCAAATCAATTCATCGTTTTGTGTATGTAAATAAAAAAATTTCGAACAATAGGAAAAAAACTTCTATGTCGTTAGATAAATTAAGTGCCTTTCGCTTCTTCAAAAAAATCTTTCAAATTTAAGATAAACGCATGAGAGGATAGCCTCAAGTTGCATCATTCAAAAAAACAAATATGAGTTTCTTACTTAACACGTCGTTTGCTGCAATACTTTGCAATGACTACCGGCACTATCAGCTTGAAAAATATGTTTTTTTCTTTTAGAAAAAAATGACAAATCCTATTTCTTCCTGTTTCGCCTGATTATGTCTTTCTAATCATGCAACCTATAATTCTTGGAGGAGTTTCAATGTAGCAGACTTTTTTTCTTTAGTATGCAAGAATATGTAAAACTGCGATGTCTGAGCTCTGAATTATGATTTTATATTATTATATTGAAAAAGTACTTCGTGAAATTAATTATTATTTTTTTGACAATTATTCAAAGACTTATCTTGTCATTTTTTTTCCTACGCATAAAAAGCAAGAATTAAGAAAACAAAAGAGTTTTGTCAGGTATTGTGGTCAGACATATTCTTTCAAGTAAAAAGAGCATTAACAGTATAAAATAAAGTCCCAAAAAGAATGTTGTGTCGCCCAATGAGCTTTTTTTTTCCTTACCGTTGTTTGTTGAGTATCGCTCTCGAACATTATGATTTACGGCTGAAAATTTTAGTATAATCTCCTCATGATAGCCCTAACATATGGAGGAAATTTCATGTGATTTGAATATATCTGGTACAAGATCGGTTGTTGAAGATGAGAGCTGCACGAAAGCTAGCAGGTGTAACATGCTTTTCTATTTATGATAATGAGTTTGAATAATAGATTTTCTATGACAAGAAAAAATAGACATGCATAATATACGATATAAATTAGATAAAAATGTAGATTATGTTTCGTGGATGGTGCATTCTTCTTAGGTTATTGCAGTTAATGCGTTAATTGAAAAGATTGTTCATCTAAAAGCACTTCTAGAATATTATACTTTGAAAAGTGTTATAACTCAGACATTTATTATTATCAAAATAGCTTTTAATGTTTTCTTTATGTAATCAGTGAAAATAATTAGTTTTGTCAAAGGAAACATAAATAATGTATTTATTTCGGATCAATACTTTTTT